AGTATAACAACATTAGAGACCTCCTCTCCCAGTTATTGTCGGATTGATTTACAGCATTATTTTGGAAGGATCAAAAGTTCTGAACTTCCTATTCAAGTATTAACATGACGTAATCATTTGTGAGGAAAGATCAAATTATTTAGGGTTGGCAAAGTAATGCTTTGTGTGAATTATATGGCTGCATACAAAATAAGAAAACATCATGTACTTCAATATTTAATATTGAATTTGCTATTTTCACCCTCACAGTGGACATGCTCACACAAGCAAATAAGTCATAAGACTTTACAGAACTTCACAGATTGTCTAATAAATAAATCACTCTCACTCTCTCCCTAACTTACTCTCTTTGTCCGAATCATTTTCAAAAATACAAAAATTTTAGATACCAAATAACAAAAGTGGCCTATTTTTAACCACAAAAATATTATCCTGGCTTAATAAACAATGTGAAGGTTTTCAATATAAGCAATGCAAAATATAAACTATATTCTATGATTGATATTGCATATTTTTCCATTTTAATTCTTTTAACAGCTAAACTTATCAAATGAAAATGAGAAAAACTTTTTTTTTTAAAGATGTACTCTGTTGTTTGAAAATGCAGTTATTGTAAATTATCTACATAAAGTTTTTCATTAAAATTTCTGAAGTCTAAGTAGAAGCTGGCAGTGGTCAAAACAACATCTAATTGAGAGAACTATAATCCAATATGACAAATATCTTGAAATACTTTCAATTCTTGTATTTTTATGGGACTAAGGGATCATAGATTTATTCTTACAAGGAAGCTCCGAGCATGCTTGGAGGATGCTCGGAGCTTTTTAAGTAGGCTCTTCTCAGCAGTTTATGTGACAATAATTATCATGATCCATTAAGATGTCAATCAAATCTACACCACTTCTATAATAAGGAAAGTAGAGCATTATAGAGGAAGCTCAATTAACACCTGTGTAAACATCTGGTCGATTCAAATACATCTTGCATGAAGTTTTACAAAACTATAAAATAGATTAGAAATTCTTCAATAGTACTGTACAATGCTTGGAAAGAAATAACAAGTATTCACAGAAAGAAAATGTTTTTAAAAACTTTTTAAAACATTTTCTTAATAATTATCATTCTTTTTCAATACAAAAAAAAAATACTCAAATTTTATATTTAAAATATAAATATAGCTTAAATTTATACTATATAAAATGAAATATAAAAGTCATGAAAGACACAAACTATGGTTATTGATTTATAATCATTTGTTGAACTTTATATGTCATAGCAAACTTAGTTCTTTAATAGAAAATGATGGCTACTATGGGAAAAGTTGTATTTCATAGGCTAGGTTGAAAGACTTGTCACAAAAGTTATGATAAATTGATTTTAGTTCAGAAATCCTCGAAATCTTTGTCTTGAATAACTTTTTTGATTTTGTTTTTATGATAATTAAAAAGATTCAGTGGAGCAAAAACTTTATAACAAAAATTTAAACTTTTTACTGGAATCCCTTTTGTCTATGCAATGCAATTTCTTTTCTCAAAATATTTTATATATGATATCCACAGGAAAGTATTGAGAAGATGTTTTATTGTTACTGTTTATGTTTCAAAAATTATACACAGATTAAATGGAACTAATAAGAAATTATGAGCTTTATAATAACATGAATAGGCTCCAATATATTTCTTATTAATCTTTTTATGACCTTACTTTTCTTTTTCATAGCTACAAAATAACTTAGAAAAGCGCATTAAAATAATTCAACTGCCAAGAAAAATTACCATAACCACCATTTATACCATACTATTAAATGTACAAAGTATTGGAGCATCTTTTTCTAAGCTCAATTAGCTCTTAGCTCTTAGTTTTATTTTAAATTCTAGTTCTTCATTACACATTTTTTTCCCCAAATATCTCTTTTTAAGCTTAATCAAAATGCAGAAAGTCATAATTATATTTGATATCCCTGAATGATTATTGCAAGATTTCTATTTATAAATGTGATTAGAAGAGCAAATCATCATCAAATTGAGAAGTCATTTATACAATCTATTCTGCTGTCTGCTTAAAATTGAGAATTTTTATTTATTACCCTAATGCCTCAAGTCAGTTGAATACCAGTTTAAAACATACCGTTTATTAATTTTTTATATTATATATTATAACTACAATTAAACAATTTTGTAATAATCTGCTTTAAGATAGGAATATGGTAATTTAAAAGTTTTAATGTTTGAGGCCTAGAGAACAGGCAATTTTCTTGAATAATGCAGACTTGACTTATATATGCTAGGTCCCTCACTTACAAGTATTTAAAAATGTATAGTTATAGTTCAATTGGTATGCTAAAAGGGGTTTAATTATAATGAATCTACCATATATCTATCAAATAATCTAATATCTTCAGTTTATATCTTATATTTGGTTCTATGAGCTGATAAACAAAACAATGTCAGCCAATCAGAAGACGTGTTACATCCAAAATTAAATTATTTATTATTGTTAGAGATGTTTTTATCTAACAGCACACAGCATTTCAATATTAACAAAATATTTCATATGGAGCATCATGCTGCATAAAAGAGGATGCTCTAAGATAATTATTCCTACTGAAACTGTATGGGGTTATTCCCTCAATCTATAATGTTTATATAATGTATCACAGTGTGATATAAACCTTTGATAATAATGTTTGCCTCTACACAGATTTCTAAACAGTATTATTGGACAGAAATTATGCAGAGAGACTTTTATCAATATTTACTTTTAAAATTGTGTGATCATATTTTACTTGTATAAATTGAATATTAGATAACACAAAACAAGCAAACAATAATTGTTTCAACTCAAAATTACTGCCACAATGTCCTATACTAATGATCATATATAATTATGCCTAAAATTCTATCTAACTTTGTTTTATGTTGTTTTTTTATAATTATACTCATGAAGCTAAAAAGAAAAAAAAATCACTTATTTGAATCTTATAGAAAAAAAATTCAGTATATATATTTGTATTTTTAGGATCTGTTTTATATTGATAGTATGTACTGATATAGGTTTATATAAAAAGACTTTCTACATACAGGCGTTAACTGAGCTTCCTCTACATTGCTTTACTTTCTTTTGATAGAAGTTATTTATATATCAAAAAGTCATTCAAGAAATAGAAATAGAGGATTGCTGAACTAAAATCCATTTATTTTACTCCATTATATTGTCAAAATTCTTTCAAGGTGTAATACTTCCAAAACATTGTACATTCAGTTTCATGCTAAGGGTTGATTTTTTTTTATATTCCATTTAATTTGACAGTTGTTGGAATTTTACCCTTCATTTCATTGCAGAAAAGTTTTTTTGAGTTGTAAATTAAACATGTATCTTGGGTGTTTCAAAGCAATAAAAAAATTCTATTTGGTGTTCTATAAAATATTTTGGAAATTTAAGGAGACATGGCTACTAAAGCTTGTAAATAGGGAAAAAAGGGGGAGAGAATTTGATAACTTCTGGTGATGTTTACTTTCTTATATGCGCTGAAAAGTTATGTTGTATTTTTACTGTAGTACAGGACAGGATAAATCTTTACTCATGCCAAGTATTTCTTAAAACAAAGATAAAATCCACGCAATTTAAAAAAAAAGTCAATTAAAGAGAGACGAACTAGAGGGAAAACAATGGTGGTACATGTATTACCTCCTCAAACCAGCCTTCCAATAATGAATTACAACTTTTCCTAAAGTAGCCATAATTTTCTATAAAAGAACTAAGTTTGCTATTTAAAAAAAAACATATTACCATTGTTAAGTTAGAGGCATTCTACTAAAACATGTTAAACAAGTAATTTTCAAAATTACCTATACAAGTTATGTTGAAAACGAGGCTGTTTCAAATATCACTTCTATATCATGTATAAGTAACTTTTGTTAACATATTTTTATAGGTGTCCATTCATACAGGTTTTATTAGCTTTAACAAATTTTCACAGGCATCTAGTTATTTCCCCATGAAATATAAAACTATTTAAATCCTCCTGAAACACTAATTACCTTTCTGATGCCACACTTCTTGGTCAAAGATTAGTCTCTTGGGGCTATTAAAATATAATTTTCCCTTAAAATCTTAGAGATAGACAGATATAAATAGATGGAACCTTGTGATTTAATTAAGACTTGAAGTTATTTATAATTTGTAATCTTAAATATGTTCCTTAAATAATTGTAAGTACTAAGTTTTTTCAAAGATGTATAAAATAATTTATAAAAGGAATTTTTGTGTCATTATTTTAAAAGTTAACCTCTCTATACTCATTTTTTTGGTCATTATTTTTAAAGTTAACCTCTGTATACTCATTGCAAATTGGATAAATACTTAATTTTATTTAATGAAATGATATAAAAATTCTTTAATAAATTACATTTAGTCCATGCTTCTTTTGACATTTAAAATAACTATTGAGTTATAAAATAATTTTTAAAAACAAAAAATACCTATATTAGAAACAAAAAAAAAATAACTTGTTTAGTATCACCCCCTGACTGTTGTTTAAGTCTTGATAACTTTTATGTAGCATATTATATAATATAAACTATATTTAAATCATATCATCTAATTATAAAATTTGAAAAAAATTTTATTAAAAAAAAGGAATGATTATTAAATATAATAAGAAAAAAATTTAATAACTATTACTTTTTGTGGAGACTTGAGATTTCTTTCCAAGCATTACACAGTACTGCTGAAGAATTTCTAATCTATTTTATAGTTTTGTAAAACTTCATGCAAGATGTATTTGAATCGACCAGATGTTTACACAGGTGTTTATTGAGCTTCCTCTATAATGCTCTTCTTTCCTTATTATAGAAGTGGTGTAGATTTGATTGGCATCTTAATGGATCAGGATAATTATTGTCAAATAAACTGCTGAGAAGAGCCTACTTAAAAAGCTCCGAGCATCCTCCGAGCATGCTCGGAGCTTCCTCGTAAGAATAAATCTATGATCCCTAAATGTTATGTTCTTACTTCAAATAAATTACATTTGACATTAAAATCCTTCACTTGATCACGGAGCCAGGATTTTTTCGAGACCTTTGTCTCTATTTAACATCTGTGAAATCCTGCATAACAACAATAACATGAGCACAATAGGAATCAAAAATGCATCACAGATTGATGACTCGTTATACCCTGCTGTTCTGCTTCAGTCATCTTACAATAAATCTTAACGGAAGTTTCTATTCCTTTACTACAAGTTCACACATTACACACAACCAATGAACTTAAAATGTTTGCACTAACTATACATCAAAAATCATAAAATCTAAATTTCTTTTTAAAAAATGTATTTGATCAGATTTCTAAAATCTTTTTTTCTCTGGTGGTCCTTGAAGAAAATCTGCTAGTCCTCACTATTATTTCTATTGCAAAATACTTATACTGTCCATCTTTTGCAAAATTTTGGTGGTCAAAATCTTCTGACCACCATTTTTTGAGTACTATGTTTTATTTTAAGTTTTCAACAGCTTGTAACTACTGAGGTCTTAGAAATTACTAAAATATTCAATGACTTTTTCTAGTTTCAGGATATTGACATTTTAAGCTTCACTAACTTTTCTATACAACAAAACCGGTTTTAAAAATTTGACTTTACCACACAACAGCAGGGCTACAATCTGAATGTAAAAAAATAGTATTTTCAAATCAATTATCTAACTTTAAAGTGTATATGATTTACTTATATGATTTTTTTTAATATCAAATGTGAAATGATGTGAATCTTTAATATTGGAGCTTCTTCCATCAGAATGTAAATGTAATCAGATTCAGATTTTTCCAAAAGAATAATAGGAGTTAAAATCAAATTGGAAGAAAACAAAAGGAAGAAAAAAATTAAAAAGAGGAGGAAGAAAAAAACTGTTGCATTACAGCAATAAAAGTAGAGCCCCCTATAGAAATCATTTTCACAAGAATAAAGAATATGTAAAAAATAAACACATACACAATCATATAATCTTTAAAGTTAGTTTAAGTACTGCCATTCACTGATGGTCAGCTACAGAAAGACAATGGGAACACATTTATGTAATATTTTCTGAGTCTCTTAATTAAATCATAAACAAGTCTTCCTATGTTTTGACCCTTATACAAAAGTCCCATACAATCACTTAGAATTTCCCTTCTCAATAAATCAATTGAATTTGGGTGAAAAAGAGACTTCTGTATAAACCATTTTTCCTTCAAACTCTGAAAATATTTGAACTTTTATAATACTACGATATTAGTTTTTGCACTTTTTTTAAACAGTATTTACAATACAATTTATGTATTTACATATTGTCAATTATCCACTTTTCTGTTTAAATGAGATGATAACATGCAGATAAAGCAGAACATGGTATATGATAAAGAGGTAAACTGACACAAAATGATACAATACTTTGGATACCATATACAGACACAAATATTCAACAAAAAATAAGACACTTCTGGTACCCAAAGTTGACAGATTCTGCAGGATAACATATATGCATACTAAACATTATGCAAATTAGGAATGATAAAAATTTGTCATTAAAAATTCATGACATGAAAATATAGCACCAATTAGAAAACATTTTATAAACAGCACTGGTCCTGTAAAATTTGCCCTTTGAACATCTAACTACTTTAAAAAGCAGACGAAAGACAGATTTTCAAAACACAGCACAAACTCCTGCAAAATTGTCTTTTTATTGTATATACAAATTTACTATTACCCTGAAAGATTCACTGAACACAACAGAAAGTCGTTATTTTCATTTATGCATCGAAATATCTTTTCGGGTCCAGTGAAATCTTACAAAAGGTGTCAAATCATGATCAATGAAAAATAAGAACATGATGCTAACAGACATATATCTACAATATACATATTGAATATAGAGAAAAAAAGTTAGAATAAGTATTACACAATGACTATTGACAATGCCAACAATTTCAATGCCCAGATGTTATTCTTACGACAGATTGTAGGTGGCAACTCAATATAATGAAATACATATGTACAAATGACATACTAATTTATGTCTATTTAGATAGTTTTTCAATTAAAAAGTAACTACAAATACATCACATTTCATGATATATTTTGTTTTTGGCTTTCAACATAAAAATAAGCATAACAGCAATATAATCAGTTCAAATCTAGAAAGAGATTATCATTTACTTCAAGTTGATATATTTAAGTCTATCTTCATTAAACACTGAACATGGAAAAAAAACTTGAAGACACCTAGATTTTGTAGCTATATATTTCTTGTTGTTTTAAATAGTAAGTTCACTATATCAGTTTGAGTACATATGTCGGCAGTTTTTGTTTAAAAAAAAAATGTGTTGGAAATCTTTATGATATGACTGCTTAACTACATAGTACTGATACTTCACAACTCATTGCTACACCATTGACAACACTAATATCATGTTAAGGCTTTTCAATAGAAACATTTTATTTCCCAAACCTTTCAGACTGAAACTAACTATAGCCAAGGTGGCTTTTTCTTTTTAAAGATTCCACATGAAAGTGCTTTAAAGTTTTATATTAATTTCTTTGTGTATAAATGACACTACATTTTTGTATTAAAGAGGTTTAAAAGATTTCATGACATATTAATAATTAAAAGATTCAAAACATGAGAATCTAAAAATGCTTGATGCAGTCCCTCCCATGTAAAATATGTTTATTCAGAGATATAATGATATTTTTGAAAAGCCACTGAAAAGAGATTGGGCTTCAATACTTTATGGTAAACTTTAAAAATTTTAACATTTATGTATACACTAGACAATGGACAATATGATACAACAATATTTTCTTGACATTTCCTATGTTGTCACAAATATGCATGGAATGTTAAATAAAAATTCACAAGTCCAGTACACCGGCCATTAAGTTCTTGTAACTCATCTTCTGATTTTCCTAACCGCTTTCTTAATTTTTCTGTTATCTGTGCTTCCAGCTCTGTAAAATATAAATAAAATTCATTTTCAGTCAGTTAAATATCATTATTGACTCCTTAAATCAGCTCCAAGGGGAGTTCATTGCTTGTCTGGCACCTGTTCGACTGATCATCTCTGACATTAGTCTGTAATCAGTCTTTACCATAAGCTTTTTGGCTAACAGGCCAAATCAATGTTTTGGGGAATTTTGTTATAGAGTTTTCTTTCCTTCTTGCTATCCAAAAGAGATTTTAAAAGTCTGGGCAGTTATGAATGTGTGTACTGCAACACAATACAGGTTCATTTTGACAAAATCTTAAAGAAACACATCAGTAAACTTTTCAACTCAATAATTCTTAAGATTTACTGCAAATTCTACTTTAATTATAAAATGTCAACTTTAAGTATGGCTATTATTCATAAATAAATGACATTGAAATTTCATAGTTCAAAATTTTTACTTCAGCCAAAGCAAAAGAGGAATACATTCCATCAGGGTGACATAATATTAATAACAGGGAAAAAATACCCAACCCCTGTTTGGGGCAACAATTATAATAGTAAGACCTACCCTATATTAAACATTCCTGTGCCAGACTGTTGTGGTGTTGAAGGTTGTCCAAACCCTCCAGCTCCAAAAGATGGTGTTGCAGCTGGGGTAGGTGCGGCACTAAAGTTATAAGGCGTCCCTGCAGGAGTGCTAGCAGCCTGTCCAAAATTAAACCCACCTGCAGGCACTGTTGGCTGCTGTGGAGCTTCAGCCTGAAGAAAATATCATAATGCAAATTACAATTTTTTCCTCAAAACAGCTTATAGCTGACTATGCGGTATGGGCTTTGCTCATTGTTGAAGGCCATACAGTGACCTATAGTTGTTAATTTCTGTGTCATTTGATCTCTAGTGAAGAGTTGTCTCATTGGCAATCATACCACAGCCTCTTTGTTTATATAAAATGATAACAAGCAAGTTATCGTTAAATAAAAGTACTATATAAGTCTCTAATATCAGTCAGTTTATTTTCAAAGTAAAATGTGATCAAATTGAATTTGAAGGGCGATTGTATTTTTTCACAAAAACTAAAACGCATATATATGTTGTGGCTGGCAGGCTTATAAAAAAAATTATTGCCAAAATCCATCATAAATAAAAGAAGAATGTGTCCATGTGACACAGATGCCCCTCCCCTCTTGTTAATTTGCAAGAGTCAATGTACTAATTCAAACAAATTTGAACTTGATCTTTGTTTGGTGGTAATAAACATTGTGTATGAGTTTCATAACGTTTGGTTGATGCAAACTAAAGTTAGAGAACAGAAACCAATTACGGATTGAATGTATGGATGAACAAAATAAATGGACAATGGTAAACCTTAATACCTGGCAGCGGGGGCAAAAACATACCTGTTTTGGTCCACCAAACTGGAATACAGCAGCAGAAGGGGCAGCTGGCTGTTGTGGTGTATTGGAACTCTGCCCAAAATTAAAGCTTGGTGCAGCACTAAAATTAAAACCGCCTGAAAATGTTCAAAATAAATGCATATTTAACAAACATCATATTGTTGCAGTAAATGTGATTGATGTATAGTCATTTTTATGTTTTATCCATTATTTTAAATCTCAAATACTGTGAAACAGGTTCCCTGACAATTGGTATACAACAGACAGTATTTATTATTTAATTTTTAGTGTGACTACAGCTGTATTTCTTTCTTTATCACTGTCATGACTTGAGATAGTATTATTTTTATGAAAAATTTGTAAGGGGTTCTGCGGAACCCTGTGTCTCGCCTACGATTGCTGCTGTCAGTGTAAATGTGTAATGTTGACTTAAAAAGTGAGTCCACTTATCAGTAAAATACAGAATGTTAAAAAAGATTTAAATAATCTCTTTAGATGCTATTTCTTGGTCTTGAAGATTAGCTTCTGTCCAAGTTTCATAACAATCCGTGAAGGTTAACAAACTTTATCATGTCAAAAAATTTTAATCCCAGACTGTCAGTAAATGTTAACAGTAAAAAAAGTCCATCTATCAGAAAAATACTCAAAATGAAAATATATTTTCAAAAGTGTGCTTCAGACATTATCTCTTAATCATAAAAAAGTTGCATAAAATTCTATGAAGGTTTGACAAAGTATTTGATGTGTAACAAACATTAACCCCAGACTGTATCTATTTGTTAAATGTAAAAAAAACTAAGTCCATTTATCAGTAAAATACAGAAAATTTATTTTCAAAATTTTGCTCTGGATATTGTATTTTGGTAATAAACAGGCTTCTGTCCAAATTTCATCTAATTCCATGTAGGTTTGACAAAGTTATTGATGTCCAAAAAAACTTTAACCACAGACTGAACCTAAATGTTGACGCGGCCGACACCAGAATCTATGATCGCTATGTCTTGCTTTCGCGAAATAAATTTAGCAGACTCGACAAAAATGATAGGATTTGGGTATTTTCAGTATTTTTATCAATTTTAGTAAATACACAAAGAAGTTAAAGAACTGAAAGTCTTAACAATCTTAAGTTTGTCACCAAAGAGAAATATGAAATGATCATTCATTACTGACAACATTCTGAACTTTTTCTTGCAGGAAATTAACTTTTAAGAAAGGAAATTGTTTACTTACTATATTGACATCCACTTCTTTCATATTTTAAAACCAAAATTGCTCAAACTTAAAATAATCATAAAATCTACTTTATTTTGTTAACCTACCATAGGTGCTTCTTTCATTATCATTTGGGGGAAAAAAAGAAAGGACTCCAGATTTCCAGGTCCATCAGCAGGAAATATAAACCAGATAGGAATAAAATGCTTCGCTGGGCGCAGCTTGATACGACCGCAGAGGTCGAACCCTGAACAGTTGGGGCAAGTATGGACACAACATTCAAGCTTGATACAGCTCTGAATTTGGATTGTGATTAAATATTTGACACAGCATAGGTTTCTGACACAGAAAGAATGTGGTCTAAGAACTTGATTTTTTTTAATTTACCTATTATGGTCCAATGTCCAAAATCAAAATACATGGTTAGATTCAGCATATCAAAGAACCCCATATATTCAATTTTTGTTGAAATCAAACAAAGTTTAATTTTGGACCCCAACTTGGACAAACTTGAAAACTGGTCCCATAATCAAAAATCTAAACACATGTTTAGATTCAGCATATCAAAGTACCCCAAGAATTCAATTTTTGTTAAAATCAAACTAAGTTTAATTTTGGACCCTTTGGACCTTAATGTAGACCAATTTAAAAAACGGGACCCAAAATTAAAAATCTAAAAACACGGTTAGATTTGGCATATCAAAGAACCCCAATAATTCAATTTTTGATGAAATCAAACAAAGTTTAATTTTGGATCCTTTTGACCTCAATATGAACCAATTTGATAGCAATCCCACAAAATAAAAAATCTAAATACATGGTAAGATTCAGCATATCAAAGAACCCCATATATTCAATTTTTGTTCAAATCAAACAAAGTTTAATTTTGGACCCCAATTTGGACCAACTTGAAAACTGGGCCAAAAATCTAAAATCTAAATACATGTTTAGATTCAGCATATCAAAGAACCCCATATATTCAATTTTTGTTGAAATCAAACAAAGTTTAATTTGGGACCCCAACTTGGACCAACTTGAAAACTGGTCCCATAATCAAAAATCTAAACACATGTTTAGATTCAGCATATCAAAGAACCCCAAAAATTCAATTTTTGTTAAAATCAAACTAAGTTTAATTTTGGACCCTTTGGACCTTAATGTAGACCAATTTAAAAAACGGGACCCAAAATTAAAAATCTAAATACACGGTTAGATTTGGCATATCAAAGAACCCCAATAATTCAATTTTTGATGAAATCAAACAAAGTTTAATTTTGGACCCTTTTGACCTCAATATGAACCAATTTGATAGCGGGTCCACAAATAAAAAATCTAAATACATGGTTAGATTCAGCATATCAAAGAACCCCAAGAATTCAATTTTTGATGAAATCAAACAAAGTTTAATTTTGGACCCTTTTGACCTCAATGTGGACAAAGTTGATAACGGGGCCCAAAAATCAAAAATCTAAATACATGGTTAGATTCAGCATATCAAAGAACCCCATATATTCAATTTTTGTTGAAATCAAACAACGTTTAATTTTGGACCCCGATTTGGACCAACTTGAAAACTGGGCCCATAATCAAAAATCTAAATACATGTTTAGATTCAGCATATCAAAGTACCCTAAAAATTCAATTTTTGTTAAAATCAAACTAAGTTTAATTTTGGACCCTTTTGACCTTAATGTAGACCAATTTGAAAACGGAACCAAAAATTAAGAATCTAAATACACGGTTAGATTCGGCATATCAAAGAACCCCAATAATTCAATTTTTAATGAAATCAAACAAAGTTAAATTTTGGACCCTTTGGACCTCAATGTGGACCAATTTAAAAACGGGGCCCAAAATCCAAAAACTTAATACACGGTTAAATTCAGCATATTAAAGAACCCCAAGAATTCAAGAATAAAACCCCATTGAAATTGATCAAGAAATAAGCAATTTATACGAAGTATCTTCTTTTGCACAATACTGTGCAATTGAATATTTCTTGCTATTGTGCAATACTGTACAATTGACAATTTCTTGCTATTGCGCAATATTGTGCTATTGGATATTTCTTGCTATTGCGCAATACTGTGCAATTGAAGATTTCTTGCTATTGCGCAATACTGTGCAATTGAAGATTTCTTGCAATTGTGCAATACTGTGCAATTGAAATATTCTTGCTATTGCACAATACTTATTATATAATAATTTACACATCCTGTTTGGTGTGTATCTCCTACCATATCATTATTATTTGCTTTTAAATATTAATCAGAAATAACCAACTTAAAATGGAAAATTTTAAAAGAAAAAAAAAAGTAAAAAAGAAAAAAAAAGAAAAAAAAAAATCCCCCCCCCCCCCAAATTTTTTGAACCCCCTTATGATTCATCACCCCCAAACTCAATCCCAGCCTTCCCTTTGTGGTATGGTACCTTGCAGTACAATTTCAGAGAGATCCATACACTTGAACACAAGTTATTGTCTGGAAACTAGAAAAATGCTTATTTTTGGCCCCTTTTTGGCCCCCAATTCCTAAACGTTTCGGGCAATTACCCCCAAACTCAATTCCAGCTTTCCCTTTGTGATATGGAACCTTGTAGTACAATTTCAGAAATATCCAAACACTTACACACAAGTTATTGTCATGAAACTAGAAAAATGCTTGTTTTTTGCCCCTTTTTTGGCCCCTAATTCCTAAAATTTGAAGGCAATTACCCCCAAAATCAATTACAGCCTTCTCTTTGTGATATGGAACCTTGTGGTACAATGTCAGAGAGATCCATACACTTACACACAAGTTATTGTCTGGAAGTTACAAAAATGCTTATTTTTGGCCCCTTTTTGGCCCCTAATTCCTTAACTGTTGGTACCATAACCCCCAAAATCAATCCCCACCTTCCTTTCGTGGTATTGAACCTTATGGTAAAATTTCATGGAGATCCATTCACTTAAACTCAAGTTAGAGTGCGAAAACCAATGTGTCTTCGGACGACGCCGGACGACGCCAGACGACGACGCCAACGTCATACCAATATACGACCAAAAAATTTTCAATTTTTGCGGTCGTATAAAAATGGTAAAATAATTAAAGACATTATAATGAATCCAGAAATATCAATATCCAAACAATATTTCAACACAATTTTTCATTCTATCTTCAGAATATCACATTTTTACCTGGAGTTGATGACGTAACAGGAGTAGGTCCAAATGAAGCATTTTGAGTTGCACCAAAGACTGGTCCTGAAGGCTTTTGAGGTGTTCCAAATGAGGGAATAGATGACTGGGGTGCACCAAAGGCTGGGACGGAGGTGTGAGGGGTTCCAAATGCTGGTGCTGTTGTCTGGGGTGTTCCAAATGTTGGTGTTGAAGTTTGTTGTGTACCAAATGCTGGAGTGGATGATGGCTGAGATGCTCCAAATTGTGGATTAGTTGAAGAGGAACCAAATCCAGTAGCTGTAGAGCCAAATCCACCAACTGTACTGATTGGACTACCAAAACTTGGAATACTAGTGGAAGTACCAAATGTTGGTGTTGAGCTTTTTGAATTACTAAATAAACTTGATGTCTGTGGAGTTGACCCAAATGTGACAGAACTTGTAGCTGGGTTAGCTGAGCTGGCTCCAAATACAAAGGAAGAACCAGTTGAACTTGACGTTACTGTTGCAGCACTCCCAAACACTGTACCAGATGATATACTTGATCCAGTAGAATTAAATATTGAGCTAGTCGTTGTCTGAGGGACGGCATTAAATCCTGTTGTAGAATTTGTTGGTGCTGCTCCTATAAAACATAAGTACAGGTTTGTTTGAGATTTTAGATGCAAAATATTTATGTGAATAACAGTCTAACAATGATATTGACTAAACTTTAAAAACGTCCTTTCTCTACAGCCTTATAAATGGGCTTTTGTGCCACCTGACCTGTATAGATCACTTTAGTCACCAGTATATGAAGTGTTAGTGCTGTGGTCATTTCCAATTAAATATCTATCTATATATCAATATTAACAAGTATTGTAAAGGTTTTGCATAAATTTTTACAATGTTTATATTTTTGCCAAAATTGTGATGTGAAAAAGATTTTGAAACGATAAACTAGAGGCTCTAAAGAGCCTGTGTCGCTCACCTGCGTCTTCAACAATGGCCACTTTATGGTAAAAATCTTCATTAAATGGGAACAACTCTATTAAGAGTTAACTGACAATTTCAGTCGTTGAAATATTTGTAGATCTTATCCTGCTGATGATTTTTCATTTCTAAAGTTTCTATTTATTTATTTTTTTTATCAGAAAAATGTAAAATTTATCATTAAAGGACAATAACTCCAATAACAAGTTGACTTAAGATTTCAACCATACGGTTTATTTGTAGATCTTGTCTTGCTGGTCATTTGTGCTATTTTAAGTTTTTATTTATCTATTATAGTTTTTTAAAATATTAGGAAAAAACACAAAAATTAAGTAAACATCATCATTAAAGGGCAATAACTCTAATAAGGAGTCGTCTGACAATTTTGGTTATGTTGACTTATTTGTAGATCTTGTCTTGGTGATCGTTTTTTCGATTTAAAGTTTCTGTGTATCTATTATAATTTTTGAGGTAATAAGGAAACAAATTTTAAAATGGTAAAATTCATCATTTAACGGCAGTAACTCCTACAAGAAGTCGTCTGACAGTTTTGACGTATATGGACAATAGTTAGAGCTCAACATTCTAACATTTTTGGTCCCGTCAGAATTTCTCTATCTTTAGTGGTCTAAAAAATAATAAGCAAAACTGCCAGTTACTTCCCAAGTCATTAATTTACACCACAAATAATGTATTATATATGGATACGTTAGCTACCACATCATTCAAGTCCTCATTTACTTTTTTCAAATAAAAGTCTTTTTTCAACAAAAATTACAACTTAAATTCTTCTCCACTGCTGTGAAACAGCATTATTACCTCCAAAGTTAAAAGATGGAGCAGCAAACGCTGTTGGTTTACTATCTTTATTCTGTCCAAATGCACTAGAGGGGGCAGCATTTGTACTGGCTGCAAAAAAATATATAAAACAACATTTACACAACATATATTGTATTCACAATTATATTAATGTATCTCATCATCACTTTATGACAGATCAAGAAACTGTTACTTTGTTTAATTGGCTTGATATATGATGAATGGCATACATTTATTTTCCTTAATATGTCTTTTGTTGTTTGAAACTGATTTAACTTCATTTCAACAGCCAGCGTAAATCTTCAAGAAGTCTATTGTAAAACCAAGTAAAAACATACCAGACTGAAAAAAAAAAAATTGACAATTGGCTGCTTAACAGAAATATAGGTAAGGCCACCCTCAAGAAATTCTTTGTTTGATGTTGCCTACCCATGCCTTGCAACATATTACATGTTTTAGACAAGAAAACCATGTTAAAGCAGGAAAAAATCTTTAAAAAAATTTGTGTCATAATTTTTTTTAGGCAGGCTGCTTTTTAAGAGGATTGGTAGGCAACTTCAAACAATTTAAATTTTACTTTTGTGCCTATTCCAAGTCAAGACTATAAAAGTCCATCAGCAAGTATTACCAGGAAGATCATTCAGAGGGTATCTGAACACAAAAGTTACGGACAATAACTACTACAAAGTCACAGAAGCATGCTATAACATACTTACCAGTAGATTTGACACCAAACTGAAACAATCCTGAAGATGCTGTTGATGGTGCAGCAAAGGGCTTCTTCTTTTCTCCTGGTCCTGTCTCTGTTAAGAGTGAAGCAAAATTTTACAAACTCAAAATTAAAATTTAAATACATGTAGTACAATATATATCCTTTTTATAGAATTTTGTCTATTCATCAAATGAATTTTAAAGGAATTAAAACTAGAGGCTCTAAAGAGCCTGTGTCGCTCACCTTGGTCTATGTGCATATTTAACAAAGGACACTCTCCAACATTGTAGACGAGAGTAGAATTCATGACAAAAATCTGTTTTGTTGATCTTGTATTACTGATCATTTATTCATTGACAGAAAATTAGAAAACCAAAATCATATTGTCACAGGCTATTTGGCTGGCTAATAGATAAAACTGAAGGTGTTCTTATGAAAAATTAGATAAAACTTGTTTACAATCAGTGGGAATTAACATTTGATTCCAACCATCAGGATTTATCATACCAATGTGAGTTTTTGATAATATTGAGCTCTAATACCAGTTAAATGAATATTATCAAAAATTCCAGTTTGTGAATACTATACAAGGACCTACCATCATCTCTGCTTCTTTTCAAATTAGGAGATACTTTAGTAGACTGATTATTAAATGAAGGCTCTGACTTTTTATCTTCTGTCTTGTTAAATGAAAACCCTGAAAAAGTAAGGATTATTAAATAAAATGTGCACAAAGTATTCTACTTTGATAAAGATCATCAAATTCTCAATTTTTTAGGCGACAAGTTCTGCAAAACATCATTAAGTCTTTTAATTGAAATATTTTACTTGGTACAATCACCATACTAATGTCAGAAATCAGAGACTTTCACAGGAAAGGTGCATAGAATAAGCTTGATACCTTTGATATACAGACCATTTCAGAAAACCCCACTTAATAAGTCACTTTTTTTTCTCTTTTTTTTTTGCTTTTCATTATCTTTACACAGGCATTCTTAAACACTTTTCACTCAAGTTCATAAGAGATAAAAATATTCAATTATTATAGCATGTTTTTTTTTCCATCAACAAAAATAACCTTTTTTTCTGCTGAAACAATCATAGGGAGAAGTGACTTCTCTTTTTTGAAGCTGATAGGTAGAAGTGGTTAATTTGAAACAGAAGTCCTCGTTTGCTTGCGGCGCTACAATGTTTGGTTTTTACTATAATATAAAGGGCCATATGTATTCTATTTTTTTCATATTGTTCAATTCATATACGAGTAGACAATTAAAGTCAGTTGTTTCAGTTTATGTCTTCAATAATCATTTATAGTTGCTCAATCACAAATACATTAGTCCTCTTGTCAGAAACTATCTATATACATTTTGCACAATCGTCAGAAACTATCTATATACATTTTGCACAATCGTCAGAAACTATCTATATACATTTTGCACAATCGTCAGAAACTATCTATATACATTTTGCACAATCGTCAGAAACTATCTATATACATTTTGCACAATCGTCAGAAACTATCTATATACATTTTGCACAATCGTCAGAAACTATCTATATACATTTTGCACAATCGTCAGAAACTATCTATATACATTTTGCACAATCGTCAGAAACTATCTATATACATTTTGCACAATCTATTTATCTGAAGCCAAATTACTTACAAAGTAATTAAATACTATATCATATGTCTTACTTTTATTTGATCTTACCTGAATTGTTTGTTCCTGTAAAACTATTTATTGATGTTTTTGGATCACTTCCAAATATACTATTACTACTGTCAGATTTATTACTACTTGAAGTCCCAAATATAGAATTTACACTAGTTGTCTTTATGTCATTATTAGATGACTGACCAAAGACAAAACCACCATTTGCAGGTTTTTGTCCTGTTGCAGAAACTGACTGTCCAAAGTTAATACCACCGGGAGTAGTTAATGTCTTTGTTTCTGAGTCAGACTTAGAATTAAAAGCTAGTCCTGTTGTTGCTACTGTTGATGTGGTAACAGATATCTTAGTACTGTCTAATATAACAGTACTATCCGAGTTCAGTTTACTAACACCGTCTGTTTTATCTGAACATTCTGATGATGTCTTTTCTAACATAAATCCACTAGCAGAAGATTTGTCTTTGGTACCTGATAAAGAGTTCTGACTCAGAAAACCTGATTTGTTAATTTCGTCAGGTTTATTTTCCCCAAACTTGAAACCTGTTCCTGTCAGTGCAGACTTTTGGGGAGAGAAGGAATTAGATTTTCCAAACACAAATCCTCCTTTTTCCTTATTATCTGATTTGACATTTGAACTTTGTTTGTCAGAGTCATCTGACAATTTTACTGAACTATCCCCAAATTTGAATCCACTTCCCGCTGAAGTAATTTCACCACTAAATTTAAATCCAGAACCACTTGCTGATTTAGAATCTCCACCAAGACTGAACCCACTGTTTGACATGTTTGAATTAGAATTAGATCCTACAGGAAGAATAAATCCTGACTGTCCAGAAAAAGCTCCTGGGGCTATCTTCAATCCACCTGTAAAGAGCAGAAAGTTACACGATTAATCTAAATCTCACTGATGGTCACCATGGTCACTAACAATTTCATACATAAGCTTTCTACCATCATAAAAGATCAAAATTAAACTCCATTGAGCATATACTTGTTCTCCTGGCCTTTGAAAGACCAGCTTCAATCCAATTCCTGTTAAGTCCAATTGTTTGTCCCTTTTAAACTATTTATAATTTGGAAATTGTAAAAGGAAAGGAATGAATTTTCATTATATCCATAATTAAAATTCAGATTAAAAATAAAAGATAAAAATTTTTGGGGATTGATTCATTATAAGGCTCTTATATTATAAAGTGAAAACAGATCTGGTTCAATTTGGTCGTTACTTAAATGGTTGGGCCTCAATTTACAAAATTGGCAGCACCTTTTTGTTTTGGGCTAAGGAACATTGTATTAACATTACATAAGGATGTGTAAGTTGTATATCTTACACGATTGAAGACTACATTAAGTTTAAGTTACGTGAAAATGGGTTCTGTAGCTAATATGCAGGTCAATAATGTGCAAATGAATTTTGGAATGACTTTTAATACATGACTGCAAATGCATGTTTTATGGATGTTGCCCAATATGTATTTACTGTTGACAAAATCTGTTAAAAGTATTTGCACAATCTGCATTGGATAGTTGCTAATTACAAAATTATAATAACCATTAAATTCTTGGGTTTTGTTGCAAGTTTTTTTAGAACAGTCCAGACACAAGAAATATTGTTTTCTTAAGTCTAAAACAAGAATGTGTCCATAGTACATGGATGCCCCACTTGCACTATCATTTTCTATTTTCTGTTCATAGGTTTGTTCGGGTCAAAACTCTGATTTGGCATTAAAACGAGAAAGATCATATCATAGGGAACATATGTACTAAGTTTCAAGTTGATTGGACTTTAACTTCATCAAAAACTACTTTGACCAAAAACTTTAACCTGAAGCGGGACAGACGGACGAACAGACACACAGACCTAAGAACGTAATGCCCCTAGGTAGGGCATAAAATGGACATTTATTAGATATAACAATAAATAGTACATGATCAGTTTTACCTGATGATGATGGCTGTGTACCAGGTCTTGGTGTTTCACATGCTATACACTTTGTGACATCTCCTTTGTTAGGGACTAAACATACATCACAATCCCAGTTACCTGAAGGCTTCTTGAAAATTGACTGTAAACTATCACCACCTGCAGATTTTGATGTACCTAAATTGTACAATAAAAATTATAAGTACCTTTCATTTCCAGTAGAAATACTTGTTTTTAAAAAATACAGATATCTACTATCACAATCAGACTTATGCAGCAAAAATTGTACAACAAAATATACCTATAATCATAATACATGCAGTCTATATTGTGTATCTTTAATTGTTCAATTAACGAGAATATTTTTCCACAAGGTCACAATCACATTTTTAAGTCTAGTGATCCCAAATAAAACTTTCAACACTTAATAAGATACTTACTTTTCTTCAACCCAGGCTTAGGTTCAGCACAAGCAACACATTTTTCTGCATCATCTTTATTGGATACCAAACACACATTACAAGTCCATCCTTTACCTGCAAACTTTGCCAGACTATCATTCTTTGGTACAGCTGCAAAAAAAGAACTGTTATAGTATGGACTGAAAAACATTGCATAAACTGCAAGCCTCAAGAAATCTGACATGAACTTTTAAGTTTGCAATAAATTACTTGTGTTTTCAATGTTGGTTTTTGATGATGGTGAAAACCTTGTTAGGTGTATAATGAATACGACACTATTTGAAAAGAGAAAATCAATATACTGACTGTTCATTGGTTTAAAATGTCCAGTTGTATATACTTGATTTCATATTTATTCTATTATAAATTTAAAAAGTCTTCTGCCTATCATTAAGGTATTATTTGTTATTTTTCTAGGAAACTAAATATTTTCAATGTTTAACATGTAAGTCAAAACTTAAATTGAAGATATACTAGTAAATCTTCTTTTCAAAAAGCCTTTAACAGACTCACAAGAAGAGTTGTAGCAAGGGTTCTTCATAACTAAGCATTCTGAATCATTATTGGATTTTATGATAGAAGCTACCTTAGTTGGTAGATAATGAAATCCTAAGGATAGGCTACATAGATACTTAAACCAGTCTGACAAGAGCAACTGTTTTTTTTTCAACATGAACCAGTCAAGAAGAAACAAAATGAAATAAAATTCTGGAAATTGGAACACAAGGTTTTTTATTTTTGGGTCAAAGAGTCTACAAATAGGTCTAGGAAAACATCAAATAAATATATTTTCAATGATCCAGGCATTTTCCAAAAAAACTTTATCAATAAAGAATATTACCTAAACGGTATTGCATAGCTTGCATTTCTTAATTTTCGACTTTTTAAGGACAAATGAGATGTCTTTTTTTGTAAACAATCTTGTAAGACCCAACAAGGGTACACCTAGGTATAGACATTGGTTTCCCATTTTGAGGGGCCAGCCTCCCCAGTAATGGGTATCCTTATGACTATGTTAGATGTTTTTATACACAGAATGATTCAGTCAGATTGCCTTGTGTAGGAAAAGTGCCCCTCTCTCTCCACATTAAAAAACTCTTCGAGGGGTCTGTAGGTGACTTGTTGCAAGCCTGAGTTTCTGCCCTTTTCATTATACCACATTATCCAGAGGTAATTAAAAATTGCAGATTCAAAATTATGGCAACACTTATAATATATGTTTTTACTTATAATAAGCATTATTTACATGGCTTAGCTCCTGGTCGAGGTGATGTGCAGGCTACACATTTATCTGAATCATCTTTGTTGCTAACAAGGCATATATCACATGTCCATCCTTTCACAGCAAACTTGGCTAGACTATCATTCTTTGATGCTACTGAAAAATTAGTTTAATGACCTAATTAAGTAATATTTTTGTAAACTATCTTAAATCAAGAGCTTTTAAGGGTACACATGGGTATAGAAATTGGGTTTCAATTTCCCTTTCTGAGTGGCCAGACTCACCAGACAAGGGTTCTTTTGATTGTGTTAGAGGTGAATATACCCTACTGATCCAGATAGATTGCCTAGTGTAGGAAAAGTGCCAATCTATTTATATAAAAATAAATTGCTTCACTGAGCGCAGCTGGATACGACCGCAGATGTCCAACCCTGAAAAGTTGGGGCCAAAATGGACACAATATTCACGCTTGATACAGGTCTGAATTTGGATTGTAATTAAATTTTTGACACATAATAGGTTTCTGACACAGAATAACTGTAGTCAAAGAACTTCAAATTGGTTATTTGATTTGAATTTATATTCAATTTCTTGCTTTTGTGCAATACACTATGCGAATTGCCCCCCCCCCCCCAAAAAAATTTTACCCCGTTTTTATGCGTTTGTGCAATACACTATGCTGTTGAATATTAACCCCCCCAAAAAAAATATTTGAAGAAATTTTCTTTAAATTTCTGAAATCTGAAACGAGAAAAATTGTCCCCCTCCAATTTTTTTCACCTCCCCCCTTTTCCTTATTCCAAAAAATAATTCTTTCCCTCAAGTTATGGTCAGTATCTCAGACACTCATCATTTCTTAATACATAATTTACAAGCAGTGTAAGGGAGGTAATAAAACATTGTTATTTAAATTGATTTTGATTTGGATTACCTCCCTTACACTGCTTTTAAATTGTCTCAATTGTCCTTTAACCAGAAAAACCCTTGTTTTTCCCCTTTTTTTTCCCTAATTCCTAGATGGTTTGAGCCATAACCCCCCAAAGTCAATCCTAACCATCCCTTTGTAGTATGGAAACTTGTGGTATAATTTGAGAGAGATTCATACACTTTAACACAAGTTATTGTCTGGAAACTACAAAAATGCTTATTTGGGCCCCTTTTTTGACCCCTAATTCCTAAACAGTTGGGACCATAACCCCCTAAATCAATCCCAACCTTCCTTTAGTGGTTATAAACCTTGTGTTAAATTTTTTTTTATTTCTATTTACTTTATATACTAAAGTTATTATTCGGAAACCATCTGTCTTTGGACAACGCTGACGACAACGTGATACCAATATACGACCAAAAAAAATGTGATTTTTGCGGTCATATAAAATTAAGGGGCCTGTAAGTGGCTTGTTTCATGCCCCTATACACATACCACTTTATCAAGGAGGTAATTCGAGAGATTGAAAATTCAGATTCAAAATGATGGCAACACTTATAATAATGAATTCAGGCTTGTATAATCAGCGGTTTTATGCTCCAAAATTGAACATGCCAGACAGGGGTGCCGACTATAGAGTACGATCAGCAAAATATAAGAGAAAAAATTTGATTTCGCGAGGTTTGTTTACGTTCCGCCATGTTCGTTATTGATATTGTAGAGGGCGCTCTTATCATTTTCAAAACTAATAATTTTACCTAATCCATATTAATATGTAATTTTTATTCAATATCAAATATAAACTGTTAAATTGCAAAATTAAATGCTTCACTACAAATTTCTCATTTCTTTTCACTGCATTGCTTAAAATAAACTGGAATCAGCTTGAATTTATCAGAAGGAAAAAAGTGTATAAGTCAACCGGGAACCAGCTTATGCATAACAATGTGTAAACTACAAAACGTAATTGATTATTCTTTTCGTTTTGATGTTTCATACTGACGCATGTTGTTTGTTTTAGCTTAAGACCCTTCAAACACTAATGTGATAGATATGTTAAACATTATTTTACTCAAAGATGGAACTGTTTTACTTTCAAAGTCATTTTCTAGTGATATCTATTAGGTACAGATTTTCCATACACTCTCACTGTATTTATTTTTTCATAAAATTCTCGTGGCGAGAAGGGGGGTGCGGAGAATATACAAGTGCGAACTATACAAGCCGATTAAGGTACATGTTGCTACTTATAATGACAAGAATTATTTACATGGCTTAGCTCCTGGTCGAGGTGATGTGCAGGCTACACATTTATCTGAATCATCTTTGTTGCTTAAAAGGCATATATCACATGTCCATCCTTTCACAGCAAACTTGGCTAGACTATCATTCTTTGGTGCTACTGAAAAGTAAACAAAATTTACTAAGTGAATTGAAACAAACTGAAAATAATCTTCCCCAGCACCTTGCAAAGTACATTTTACTATTAAGGCCAAAATAAATAAATTGTGTGTTCCCTATTTCAACCCTCAAAAAAATAGATAGGGTAGTTAGTAAAACATTTTTTTTTTTTTTTATTGTTGACAGCAGAAAAAGGTTCCAAATCAAATCATTGATGTCCCACCCTTTGTCTGCCCGATTCTTTTATATTCAAAATAGTACTTAAATCTACAGCTTTTTTAATTATCTGTTTTAGTTCTGAGTCAGAAATATGAAAATAAACTTTAATGCAAATTTTATGCATTTCATGGGTTAATATAGGAATATTTTCTTGCAAATGAATTATCTTTAACCAAAAATGGCAATGAAAAATCATGGTATGTTATTATGCAAGGCCTAGCCAACCTTACAATGTAAATGACACACAGATATGTGTGGGAGCAGATTATTACTCCTTGAAAACATTGAAAACTGGTGCTATTAAGTAGAGGTTGATTATGATATTTAGAAGGGTGATACTCTGTCCTTGCACCCTCTTTATCTAATATGAGAGTTTTTATGTTAAGACAAAATGTCATCTTGAAGAGTGAGTGGTCCTTACAATATTAAAATTCCAGGTTTCAAGAAGAGTAAATGTGAAATATTTGTGTTAATATACTATTCAAATAAATTGCAGTTATATAAAATATGACATGAATTTGTTATCCTTTTCGTGTATAAATTGTTATGGGACCAGCAAGAGAAAATATAAAAGAATAAAAGTTGACATGGTGCCGGGGCAGATTCATTTTTAAATGAACATGAATCATACACCATGTCTGCCTGCTGGGGGGAAGCTTCTTTTTCTCTGTCTTGTTACACATTGTCTGCCCCAGGCCATCATTAACTTAAAAGGCATTGAAACTGTTTTTGATGCATCTATCAACAAAAGCTGGATTTATTTTAGACATAAATTGAAGAAATCTAACTTTAAAACTGTTTGTCAATTCACTGACAGATACTGAGGTCCAAAGAAGTTGAGCAAATTATGTCAACTTCATATATTTTTTTGTCTATAGGTCCATCATGATGTTCTTTAAAAAGGTTCATCATACCTTAATTATCCAGATTCCATTTTTTAATTTCCATTATAATTGTTGCATTCATGTGATCACATTTCGCATATATGACAGCTAATATGCTGCCATGGTTGTCAAACAAGCCTAGCTGCAGAACCGTACCTCTTAGGTTCTTATAATTGTTTTTGACAATTTGAGGACCATTGATTTATGGTCCCAAAATTGGCAAAAAATATCACAAGGACCTATGAGTCACAGATCCGCAGCTGCTTGTTTATTTGAAATATGGTTCCTGATACGCTTTTCTTATTCGTATTTAGTTGTAATTATCAACGCTTTGCAGATCAATAATATTCAATCAAACAAAACTATCCGGAAATACAAAAAAAAAATCTGTATTTTTTTTAATAATCGTCAATAAAATGTTTAGGGTCAGCATTGTAAATAGAGGTAGGGTCGGGAAACCAGAAACATACAATTTATTTATTTTGTCTTAAGTGGATGCAACTTTTAAACAAAACATCAAGGCATTCAAATTCTAATTAAGTATTTCTTGATCAAATGCAGACATGCTCATAAACTTCTCTGGATATGTGAGTGCTAAATTTTCCGGGAGAATGGAAAATTATAGTTGATGAACATTTTGCATAATTCTATCATAGTCTTTTGTCTCCTAACTTATATACATCTATTTCTAGACCTTCCACAGAAAAAAAATAACATAAGTTCTGGTCTAATATAAATAATTTTTACTTCAATTTTTTTCCTTATTTAATTGCATCAAAAAACCTTCCATCAATGTGGCAACAGAATGAAACTATATTATTTCAATGTAGCATCTATAAGTGTCCATGAATAAAGATTGTAATCTGTGTTTAATAGCATATATACATTTTTTACCTTCTGGGGACTTTTTCTGTGCCGTGCCACTTTTTCCTAAGATATCCATAACACTTCCACTTTTTAATTCTGATGCCACTTTGAAGCCACCACTGGAAGGTGAACTGTTGTTTGAACTTGTCTGAGAAACAGGCTTTGAAAAACCTTAAAACAAGATTAAAAGGCAGTAATTAGGACCCATGTAGGAAATTTAATATATCATCACTCGAAATTGATCTTTTCAAACCATGATTTCAATTAACACCATACATATTGCTATTGATATTAGTCTCTTAAGAAAAACATGTCTGTCGCATTATTATGAATGTGATTCTTTAAAAAAAAAAATTCAGTTCATACCTAGTCATAAAGGCTGTGTACTCAAAATACATTTTACTTAGCTGATCTGATTTTTATAACCTTCTCTGTCAACAAATAATGTGTACCTTGTGATACTGGAGAAGCTGTGAGACTACTGGTTGAGACAGTTGAACTTTTATAGTTGTATTTCATCTGTATGTCATTGTCATCACCAAGATTAAATGTTACACTTTTTGATTTGCTTGGCGATGCTGATCCATCTCCTTGTTGGATTGGTGAGCTGAACTTGAAGTCCTTTAAAACAGAAAGTAGCATGTAATAACTGTGCATGCAAAAATATCAACAACCTTAAATCACTGTCTTTTAAAATTCAAAGAATGACAACTGCAAACACCAATTAAATCTTAACTTGAAAAAAACAATTCATATCAGCTTGTACTTAATGATTCATTCCTACTAACTTCAACTAAATTTATCAAACTTTCCATGTCATGTTGTCATTTTAGGTAGCGTATTAGATTACATTAAATTTTGATGGACAAGATCCAATAAGGCAATTCAAAGATTTTTTCTATAACAGTATTTTCAACAAAAGTCTGTTAAGTTTGTATGTCTATGCAATAAAAAAGGTGTTTTAAGAATATTGATAGATTAGATTGCACAATTGTCAAATTTTGAATTGAAAAAAATGTACACATGTTTTGAAGTAAAACTATGCCATTGAAATTTTTAAATTGAATTCAGGTAGATATTCATATTGTAATAAACAGCAGTGAATCATAAATCTAATGTGAATTTCTTCCACATACAATGTAATATATTTTGGCATGAATAACAAGGCTTGTGTGTTTAGAGTTATACAAACCATTTTAGGTGGACCTGTAGGTGTATCAGTGGGTGTAACAGCCATTTTCTGTATAGGTGACGAGAAGGTGTACTGTTGACTAGACAAATCTTTTGTTGTACGCTGAGGTGTAGACTTTGGCATATTGAAATTAAATGTAGGCATGTCTTTGACTGGCAGTGTGAACTCTGTCCTTAATTGTGGCATTTCGTAAGGCTCATCTTCCTCGTCATCTTTTCTAGAGGCAACATGATGTGTTGTAAACTTTTTGCTCTTCATTTTACCTCCCTGAGTATTAATTGAGGACATTCCGGGATCTTTTTGAGAAGATCTATGTTATAAACAATTTACTTTCAAATAAATTATGCATAAATTAGTGTAGAACAAATATTATACTGAAAGACAACAGAAAAAGAACTATTTTCCTGCAAGTTTTTACATAAAAATTGAGTTATTCAAACAATTCAATATAATCATTTTTTCCTCTCCTGAGGTATAAACATGTGGCTGATTGTCTGCCTATCCTAAACTTTGATTTTCATATATAATTATGATAAATCTTTAATAAAATAAAATGCTCCGCAGGGCGCAGCTTGATACGACCGCAGAGGTCGAACCCTGAACAGATGGGGCAAGTATGGACACAACATTCAAGCTTGATACAGCTCTGAATTTGGATTGTGATTAAATATTTGACACAGCATAGGTTACTGACACAGAATGAATGTGGTCTAAGAACTTAAAAATTTTAAATTGGACATTCACCTATTATGGTCCAATATCCAAAATCTAAATACATGGTTAGATTCAGCATATCAAAGAACCCCAAGAATTCAATTTTTGATGAAATTAAACAAAGTTTAATTTAGGACCCTTTTGACCTCAATGTGGACAAAGTTGATAACGGGGCCCAAAAATCAAAAATCTAAATACATGGTTAGATTCAGCATATCAAAGAACCCCAAGAATTCAAGAATAAAACCCCATTGAAATTGGTCAAGAAATAAGCAATTTATACGAAGTATCTTCTTTTGCACAATACTGTGCAATTGAATATTTCTTGCTATTGCGCAATACTGTACAATTGACAATTTCTTGTTATTGCGCAATATTGTGCTATTGGATATTTCTTGCTATTGCACAATACTGTGCAATTGAAGATTTCTTGCTATTGCGCAATACTGTGCAATGGAAGATTTCTTGCTATTATGCAATACTGTGCAATTGAAAATTTCTTGCTATTGCACAATACTTATTATATAATAATTTACACATCCTGTTTGGTGTGTATCTCCTACCATATCATTATTATTTGCTTTTAAATATAAATCAGAAATAACCAACTTAAAATGGAAAATTTTAAAAGAAAAAAAAAAGGAAAAAAAAAAAATCCCCCCCCCCCCCCCAAATTTTTGGAAACCCCTTATGATTCATCACCCCCAAACTCAATCCCAGCCTTCCCTTTGTGGTATGGAACCTTGCAGTACAATTTCAGAGAGATCCATACACTTGAACACAAGTTATTGTCCTGAAACTAGAAAAATGCTGGTTTTTTTTCCCCTTTTTGGCCCCTAATTCCTAAAATTTTGAGGCAATTACCCCCAAAATCAATTCCAGCTTTCCCTTTGTGATATGGAACCTTGTAGTTCAATTTCAGAAAGATCCATACACTTACACGCAAGTTATTATCATGAAACTAGAAAAATGCTTGTTTTTTGCCCCTTTTTTGGCCCCTAATTCCTAAAATTTTGAGGCAATTACCCCCAAAATCAATCCCAGCATTCCCTTTGTGATATGGAACCTTGTGGTACAATGTCAGAGAGATCCATACACTAACACACAAGTTATGTATGGAAGTTACAAAAATGCTTATTTTTGGCCCCTAATTCCTTAACTGTTGGTACCATAACCCCCAAAATCAATCCCAACCTTCCTTTTGTGGTATTGAATCTTATGGTAAAATTTCAGGGAGATCCATTCACTTAAACTAAAGTTAGAGTGCGAAAACCAATGTGTCTTCGGACGACGACGCCGACGCCAACGTCATATCAATATACGACCAAAAATTTTTTAATTTTTGCGGTCGTATAAAAAATTCCTAAATAAGCCTGTCCTGCCAAAAAATTACTTGTCTATAGAGATCATCAGACAGGCTTGCATTAAAAACTCTGATGTAAAAAATCTGCCTGTTAGTTATCTTTTAACCATGTTCTACACAAGAATGTATTAAACTGATATAATCCTATTTTGCACTGTACCAAATTTCTTTTCACAAAATGCTAAATCTCTGATTGATCCCTTCTCTAGACTGACTTGTGAAACACTATCAGGATTTTTTAGTAACTCAGTAAGTAGTCTGGGTCTTGTTACTGGACATTGTGTGCAAAAAAATTCTTGAAGCAGTCATTTAATTTGCTCACTTTGGACCTATCAAAGGTCATTAACAGATAAGCTTTTTGAAAATTCTGTTGTTTTTTCAGGAAAGCTACATTGTATTTACACAGACTCGAAGGACCACTGATATTGTTAAACCCTGAATGCATCAAAATAACTACCAGTTTTAAAGTCTTTCATTTATTGATAATTCTTGTTTGGTTTTTAACACAAATCTCCTAATTAAAATGTAAGAGTACTAAGCATTTAAATAAAACCTACCCAGGTAACTGATAACTGCCTGTATTTTCAGTGCTTTCTCCTAATTGAAATGTAAGGGTACTAAGCATTTAAATTAAACCTACCCAGGTAACTGATAACTGTCTGTAGTTTCAGTGCTTTCTCTAAATTAAAATATAAGGGTACTAAGCATTCAAATTAAACCTACCCAGGTAACTGATAACTGCCTGTAGTTTCCGTGCTTTCTCTGTTTGGTACAAATCTCTGGAGATTGGCAGCAATAGAAGCTGATCCTGGAGTACTGACTCTTTGTAATGGTGGACCTCTATTTGGTGTCTACGAATTATACAACATCACAGCAAGTTTATGATATTTTCTCAATACTATAAACAATGTGGGTTATTTGAACAAAGCTACATCATTCAGTCTTCATTTTAAAATGTGTCAAAGCTTTCTCATTTTAACATACGCTATGCAAAAATATTCAATTCAATAAATTTGTTTATTTTTAAACTTAAAATCCTTATAATTAAAATATATTCTATATTCACCTGCAATTCTCTAGATGAATTCATGTAAGCTCCTATACTATGTCTTGTTGGCCTTCTATATACTGATGGCTGAAATTTTAAACCTTATATAAAATCATTTATAAAATAAGAATGTGTCCATAGTACACGGATGCCCTACTCGCACTATTATTTTCTATGTTCAGTGGACTGTGAAATTGGGGTCAAAACTCTAATTTGGCATTAAAATTAGAAAGATCATATCATAGGGAACATGTGTTGATTGGACTTCAACTTCATCAAAAACTACCTTGACCAAAAACTTTAACCTGAAGCAGGACAGACAGACGAACGAATGGATGCACAGACCGAAAAACATAATGCCCCTAGGTGGGGCATAATAACTGCTGTAATATGCATATTATGTATATCATTATTTTATGGATAAACAATTTTAAGTTCATTATATTATCCAAACAACCCATAATTTATCCCAACGAAGAATCCTTCATTTGACAGAAGATGAGGAGGGTTAAGAGTTAATATCCGGACACTATTCTAAAAATAGGAAAATTCTTGTATTCTTTTAAAATAATGTTTTATCAATATCAGTTTATAAAATGAATATATCTTCAACTTTTTGGTACAAAAATGTCAGTAATCACTGTGATAGATTGGTGTTGTTTGCAAACATGCTTGGCTTGGAAGATATATCACGCATGTTCAGGACAAGAACAAAATAACAGCTAATACAATTAGTAGGGCCTGCAATAAGGGTGTTTCAGACTGGGCAGGACATTTGAATGCCCTTGAACAATGAGGATATATTGGATATGGACAGTTATTTGGCCTTGCAAAAGGACACCTGACTGAGAGCTGATGCAAGGGTTCTTTTAAGTGCAGTCTTCAAACATGTTGAAATTGACATATCTGACCTGAAATGACCATTTTACACCTTACCAAAAAAGATATTTGACTCACATTTAACTTTTTGTATAATACATTTTGTAGCAAAATAAATTATCTTTTGAACAGGGCCTTACCTCATTTCTAAAGACTAATGACAAGCTTTGATAATGAGGCATATCCTGATTTTTTTTATAAATAACAATAAAGTGATTTTAAAAATTAAGAATGCTCTCTCCCAGTAGTATTCCTTACAAATTTTAAATTTCAATCAGTTAATCTCAAAATTGAGTATATAAAAAAATCTTTTTTCTCCTCTGGTTTCAACTGAAGATGTATAATTTGATCCCTCATGTCTTGTGAGGCAACAATAGGTATATTTCTTATTTCAATTACTGGTTAAAAGGTCTATGATGTTCTCAGTTCCCACCAACAATCATATATATCATGAACATGTGTCGTTTTAAAAAAGGATGTTTTTTTTCTAGTTAACATTTTGAAAAGTTTTGTAGTATTCCATAAAGAGGAGCAGGCAAATCTTAGGACCACAAGATATTCATTCCAACTGGCCTATTGGCCATCCTATCAGTTCTTATGACCACCCTGGACAGTTATCTCATTGACAATCATTCCACTTCTCCTTATTTTATAGTTGTGAGATAAAATACGTCAGTTTCTATCCCATACTGGTTTTTTTAACATATCCTTACTTTCTGATATGGAAAGTTTGCCATAAGCGATTCTCTTTAAACTTACAGTAAAGGAAAATGATGAACTCAAGCTCTGCATTACTGTATCATCAACTGGTATTTTCCTCGCATCCTATCAAGAAAAGAAACCATATATTTGTATTTCAAAAAATTCAATAGGGTTAATAACCCTAATGGACATAAATATGAAGAATACCATTGTGATTTGGTAGAACATTAAAACCAGACATGTAATTGACATAACTTTAAATTTCAAGATGTGATTGATTGATTGATTGATTGTAGGTTGCTTAACATCCAGTAGCAAATATTTCATGCATGTTCAGGACTATTCAAGAAGTATCAGTAGTGCACAGACAACAAAGGTAAACAAGTGCAAGTATTAGTCTTATGAAATATTGACACATGACTGAATTTTATACACTGATTTTGTTTTAGTCTGAAGTTTGCCATAACAAATCACCATGCCTATGTGAGTTTACTATAGGGCTAAATGAAAGAAGAAAATTATCATCTATTCAAAATTAAATAGGCTACCTGACAAACCTTTGTAAATCAAAATTATCAAATTCAGTTCTCATTTATTAATAAACTGCTTCGCCAAAGTTTCATAAAAAATGCTGAAAGCATTTTTGAGTTATTGTCCGAAAACTGGAAAATCCCCCTTTTTGTAATGAATAAAACCCCATAAATCAAAAAGTGTATAGTCTGAAATTTATAAAAATCCAAAGGGAGCTCATGTTGATAGAAATAAACAATTCACCAAAGTTTCTTGCAAATTGATGAAATTGTTTTTGAGTTATTGTCTGAAAACTGGAAAATCCCCCCTTTTTTAATGAATAAAACCCCAAAATTCAGAAACGGTAAATCCGAAATTTATAAAAAACGAAAGGGAGCTCATGTCAATAGATATGAACAATTCACAAAAGTTTCATGCAAATTGGTGAAATTGTTTTTGAGTTATTGTCCGAAAACTGGAAAATCACCCTTGTTTAATGAATAAAACCCCAAAACTCGGAAATGGTAAATCTGAAATTTATAAAAAACGAAAGGGAGCTCACGTCAATAGATATAAACAATTCACCAAAATTTCTTGCATATTGGTTAAAGCCCTTTTGAATTAATGTCCGACATGTTGACGACGGACGGACGGACAGAAGGTCAACAGTATACCATAATACGTCCTGTAAACGGGCGTATAAAAACCAATTCCTATAGATTTAAATATAGTAACTAGAATGTTAAATGCTGCCTTTTAAAAAAATACTCACTCCAAGAGGTGTTGTCATCTTTTCCAATGTTTCTAATATCTTTCTAGCTGTTCCACTGGTAGTAGCAGTACCAGCGAATGAATTGTTCAAAGGTTTGGCTTTCATTTTCTGGCGTACTGGAAATGGTGATGACTTAGTAAAGAAAAAAGAAATCTTTTTAAATATTGCTGGATACATCTCACTCCTTTTGAATTTGAATAAAATGCTTCGCTGGGCGCAGCTTGATACGACCGCAGAGGTCGAATCCTGAACAGTTGGGGCAAGTATGGACACAACATTCAAGCTTGATACAGCTCTGAATTTGGATTGTGATTAAATATTTGACACAGCATAGGTTTCTGACACAGAAAGAATGTGGTCTAAGAACTTCAATTTTTTTAATTTACCTATTATGGTCCAATGTTCAAAATCAAAATACATGGTTAGATTCAGCATATCAAAGAACCCCATATATTCAATTTTTGTTGAAATCGAACAAAGTTTAATTTTGGACCCCAACTTGGACAAACTTGAAAACTGGTCCCATAATCAAAAATCTAAACACATGTTTAGATTCAGCATATCAAAGTACCCCAAGAATTCATTTTTTGTTAAAATCAAACTAAGTTTAATTTTGGACCCTTTGGACCTTAATGTAGACCAATTTAAAAAACGGGACCCAAAATTAAAAATCTAAATACACGGTTAGATTTGGCATATCAAAGAACCCGAATAATTAAATTTTTGATGAAATCAAATAAAGTTTAATTTTGGACCCTTTTGACCTCAATATGAACCAATTTGATAGCGATCCCACAAATAAAAAATCTAAATACATGGTAAGATTCAGCATATCAAAGAACCCCATATATTCAATTTTTGTTGAAATCAAACAAAGTTTAATTTTGGACCCCAATTTGGACCAACTTGAAAACTGGGCCAAAAATCTAAAATCTAAATACATGTTTAGATTCAGCATATCAAAGAACCCCATATATTCAATTTTTGTTGAAATCAAACAAAGTTTAATTTTGGACCCCAACTTGGACCAACTTGAAAACTGGGCCCATAATCAAAAATCTAAACACATGTTTAGATTCAGCATATCAAAGAACCCCAAGAATTCAATTTTTGTTAAAATCAAACTAAGTTTAATTTTGGACCCTTTGGACCTTAATGTAGACCAATTTAAAAACGGGACCCAAAATTAAAAATCTAAATACACGGTTAGATTTGGCATATCAAAGAACCCCAATAATTCAATTTTTGATGAAATCAAACAAAGTTTAATTTTGGACCCTTTTGACCTCAATATGAACCAATTTGATAGCGGGTCCACAAATAAAAAATCTAAATACATGGTTAGATTCAGCATATCAAAGAACCCCAAGAATTCAATTTTTGATGAAATCAAACAAAGTTTAATTTTGGACCCTTTTGACCTCAATGTGGACAAAGTTGATAACGTGGCCCAAAAATCAAAAATCTAAATACATGGTTAGATTCAGCATATCAAAGAACCCCATATATTCAATTTTTGTTGAAATCAAACAAAGTTTAATTTTGGACCCCGATTTGGACCAACTTGAAAACTGGTCCCATAATCAAAAATCTAAATACATGTTTAGATTCAGCATATCAAAGAACCCTAAAAATTCAATTTTTGTTAAAATCAAACTAAGTTTAATTTTGTACCCTTTTGACCTTAATGTAGACCAATTTGAAAACGGAACCAAAAATTAAGAATCTAAATACACGGTTAGATTCAGCATATCAAAGAACCCCAATAATTCAATTTTTGATGAAATCAAACAAAGTTAAATTTTGGACCCTTTGGACCTCAATGTGGACCAATTTAAAAACGGGGCCCAAAATCCAAAAACTTAATACACGGTTAGATTCAGCATATTAAAGAACCCCAAGAATTCAAGAATAAAACCCCATTGAAATTGATCAAGAAATTAGCAATTTATACGAAGTATCTTCTTTTGCACAATACTGTGCAATTGAATATTTCTTGCTATTGTGCAATACTGTACAATTGACAATTTCTTGCTATTGCGCAATATTGTGCTATTGGATATTTCTTGCTATTGCGCAATACTGTGCAATTGAAGATTTCTTGCTATTGCGCAATACTGTGCAATTGAAGATTTCTTGCAATTGTGCAATACTGTGCAATTGAAAATTTCTTGCTATTGCACAATACTTATTATATAATAATTTACACATCCTGTTTGGTGTGTATCTCCTACCATATCATTATTATTTGCTTTTAAATATTAATCAGAAATAACCATGATAACCAACTTAAAATGGAAAATTTTAAAAGAAACAAAAAATGAAAAAAAGAAAAAAAAAGAAAAAAAAAAAATCCCCCCCCCCCCAAATTTTTTGAACCCCCTTATGATTCATCACCCCCAAACTCAATCCCAGCCTTCCCTTTGTGGTATGGTACCTTGCAGTACAATTTCAGAGAGATCCATACACTTGAACACAAGTTATTGTCTGGAAACTAGAAAAATGCTTATTTTTGGCCCCTTTTTGGCCCCCAATTCCTAAACGTTTCGGGCAATTACCCACAAACTCAATTCCAGCTTTCCCTTTGTGATATGGAACCTTGTAGTACAATTTCAGAAATATCCAAACACTTACACACAAGTTATTGTCATGGAACTAGAAAAATGCTTGTTTTTTGCCCCTTTTTTGGCCCCTAATTCCTAACATTTTGAGGCAATTACCCCCAAAATCAATTACAGCCTTCCCTTTGTGATATGGAACCTTGTGGTACAATGTCAGAGAGATCCATACACTTACACACAAGTTATTGTCTGGAAGTTACAAAAATGCTTATTTTTGGCCCCTTTTGGGCCCCTAATTCCTTAACTGTTGGTACCATAACCCCCAAAATCAATCCCAACCTTCCTTTCATGGTATTGAACCTTATGGTAAAATTTCATGGAGATCCATTCACTTAAACTAAAGTTAGAGTGCGAAAACCAATGTGTCTTCGGACGACGCCGGACGACGCCAGACGACGACGACGACGACGACGACGACGACGCCAACGTCATACCAATATACGACCAAAAAATTTTCAATTTTTGCGGTCGTATAAAAAGCTTAATGAATTAATTAAATTGCCTGACTCTCAAAAAAAATGTCAAGGCAAAGTAGACTCATTCTTCTAACCTTTCAATAGAAAACCACTCCACCTGTTTATAATGATTTACATGTTTTTCTTTCCAATGTTTTTTCATAAAACACATTAAAAACATTTTTTCCTTCTTCTGACAATATCTTCAAGCCAGAAAAATATGTATAGCCAAACAAGATCTATGCATCTATCATAATACAGAACTATAAGAGCTGTTGTTGGGAGTACCCTGTAATTGTAGACTAGAGCAAAACTATTTTTTAAATAGGACTCTCAATACAATACTTTATTTCTGCAAAATTCAGTTCAGAAATGTTAGGGGAGGTTTCTGAGATTTCACATATGGTTCAATGGAAACTTATGTAAATACCTTGCTGCCATTAACATGTTTAAGACCCAATCCCAGTTTGGTTGAAATGGGCCCAGTAGTTTCAGAGGATAAGAATTAGGCTAGTAAAAAGATAACAGATGCCAAGTAATGAGAACATCTCACATTGGCCCTAGTCATGTGAGCTAAAAAATAGAAGTTAACCATGTAATAGCAATAGCTAAAACTGGCTGTTACGAACTGGCTAGCTTTAAAAACTAATGAGAAGTAGGTCAGCTATACATATCGTCTTGCAGATTACAAGTTATAACACCAATAAAACATACCACATAAGGAGCAGTTGTGTTTAAACTTTGTCGTCTTTGTGATGAAGCGCCACCAAAAGTTGTTCTTCCAGGATAAAATGCAGATTCATTTAATCTATCATGTGATAATGCAGATCTGTTTCCCTGAAAAATTAAATAAAGGAAATTAGATATTAGAAAAAAACAAGTTTTTAAATACAGTGTATATGTAGATTGCAGACAAATGGAAAATGATTTTTCAAGAGTAAAAAGTTTATTTATTATCAAATTGACCAAACATTTACCCAAGCAATGAACCTTATCAGTGTTCTAGCTATATGCAAATCTTGGAGTGCAATGTCTGCATTTTACAACTGGTTATCACAATTATTTTTCATATTTGGGTCAGACTTATATTAAACAAGTACAAATGTAGTACAAGATATGAAGCAATATATACAGATATACTTACAGGTACTGGGGACCCAAACAAGGAAACATCAAAGCTAGGTTTTCCTATAAGTGCTGGCTTCTTAGGCCTCTTAGTATTGTACTGTGCAGTCCAAGTAAGATACTTTCCTAATCCTGTAAAACATTTTCAGAAATACAAAAATAATGAAAATTGTTAACATTTTTAATAAGATTGTTAACAAGTTATTCGAAAAGTCAACTTAATGAACAAGCAAACATAGTTTTTATGTATGTTCCCCATGTGCACACTTGTGTAAATAAGCTGTCACAATAGATGAACTGCAGACTTGTTTAACATAAGGCTTGAGAGCCCTAGGCTTCAACAATAGCCATTTTTTGGTAAAAATCGTCATGAAAGGGCAATTACTCTATAGAGTTAACTGACAATTTCAGTCATGTTGACATATTTGGAATCTTGTCCTGCTGATCATTTTTGCTTTTTAATGTTTTTATTTTATATTTGTATCTGTTACACTTATCAAGGTAATAGACAAAATAAAATAGTCAAAAACATCTTTAAAGGGAAATAACTCCAATAATGAGTCAACTAAAGATTTCAGCCATGATGGCTTCTTTGTAGATCTAGTCTTGCTGATAATTTTTGCTATTAAAAGTTTTTCTTTATCTATAATAGTTTTCAAAATAATATGCAAAATGCAAAAAGGTGGGAAAAAATCGTCATTAGAGGGCAATAACTTCAATAAGGAGTCAAATGACGATTTCTGTCATGTTGACTTATTTGTAAATCATGACTTGATCATTTTGGCTTGCGAAATTTTGTCTTGTAAAAGTTTCTTTCTATATACATGTATTATAGTTTTTAAGATATGAGGCAAAACGCATTCAACTGGTAATAAAATGCTTCGCTGGGGCGCAGCTTGATACGACCGCAGAGGTCGAACCCTGAACAGTTGGGGCAAGTATGGACACAACATTCAAGCTTGATACAGCACTGAATTTGGATTGTAATTAAATATTTGACACAGCATAGGTTTCTGACACAGAATGAATGTGGTCTAAGAACTTAAAAATTTTTAATTTATCTATTCAAACCATATCATTATTATTTGCTTTTATATATAAATCAGAAATAACCAATTTAAAATGGAAAATTTCAAAGAAAAAAAAGGAAAAAAAAATCCCCCTCCCCCCAAAATTTTTTGAACCCCCTTATGATTCATCACCCTCAAACACAATCCCAGCCTTTCCTTTGTGGTATGGTACCTTGCAGTACATATGATGGACTGTGAAACTAAGATCAGGAGTTTGGGAAATTTTGGTCAGGAGATTAGGACTCAGATCAGGAGGTTTTTAATCGACATAAATTCTGTCGTAAATGTAACCGTGTGCTGTAGAAATTGTCTGTTAAAGTGTGCTTTCTTCAACTTTCCATCCGAATGTATTATGTTTATAGTACCCTTGTACTTATAAATTTTCTCTATCTTTTTAAACTTTCAACTTGTTCAATCTAACATTCTTCTTTTTAAGTATGTTCTTTAAATTTTTTAGGTCATATCTTTTTTTCCATTATTCATTGCAATCAGAATATTTGCTTATCTATCTGCAAGTAGTTCTTTTATTTTAATCTTTATGCAAGTAGATTTTTAATGCATGATAAGTAACACATTCAAACTGTATACATGGGTCATAGTTAATATATAAATTTCAATTTAAGCCTTGAAAGGAAGTATAGAACCCTCAAATAATTTTCAAATTATTATTTTTTTATTTGTCCTAAGACATTTAAAATCATTTAATTACCATCCTTTTATGATTATTTGTTCAATTTATATTTTATTTATATTCTTTTAAAAATTTACATTATTTAAAGGAAAGTAACTTAAAACAGGATAAATCAAGGGAAGTAACCCAACATTCATTTATAAATATACAAAGTTTTATTACACAACGGCAGTTAGCCTGATGTAAAAATCGTTGATTACCAGTATGTTTGACACCCAAGGTGACAAGTGAAGCCATATAATTATCATGTTAATTGATTTACAGGTAAAATATAACTTCAGGTAATGTCAGTTACACCAGATATGTTGGGCTGAAATTTTTCATTCATGAAATATTTCATACACAGGATTTTTTTGTCTTCAACGGGAGGTCGGGAGGAGACCCCTGAAAACGGGATTATTGTATTCCCTTCGGGAGGTTCACATGTATGATTACTGTACAATTTCAGGGAGATCAATACACTTGAACAAAAGTTATTGTCTGGAAACTAGAAAAATTCGTAAGGGTTCCGCAGAACCCAGTGTCTCGCCTACTTTTGCTGTTAATCGCAGGCTCAACAAAAATGAGGAAAAAAATTAATAAAAATATTCCTCTCTATACTATCTTTTGATTGTAAGTAGCTTCTGTCCAAGTTTTGTAAAAATCCAGGATAGTTTATGAATCTAATAAATGTTTTAAAAACTAAAAATGCAGACTGTATGTTATGTTAACTGGAAGAAAAACTAAGTCCATTTATAAGTAAAATACGGAAAAAATGGAACAAAATTTTTAAAAAAATTCCTTCTAGATACTAGCTTTTAATCATAAACAAGCTTCTGTCCAAGTTTGGTACAAATCCAGGATAGCTTAAGAATGTTGTTAAAATTTTAAAAACTTTAACCACAGAGTGAATGTAACGTTAATTGGCAGAAAAACTAAGTCCATTTATAAGTAAAATACGGAAAAAATGGAACAAAATTTTTAAAAAAATTCCTTCTAGATACTAGCTTTTAATCATAAACAAGCTTCTGTCCAAGTTTGGTACAAATCCAGGATAGCTTAAGAATATTGTTAAAATTTTAAAAACTTTAACCACAGAGTGAATGTAACGTTAACTGGCAGAAAAACTAAGTCCATTTATAAGTAAAATACGGAAAAAATGGATTTTTTTTTTTACAAAATTTCCTTCTAGATACTATCTTATGATCATAAACAAGCTTCTTTCCAAGTTTGGTAGAAATCCAGGATAGTTTAAGAAAGTTATTAAAATTTCAAAAACTTTAACCACAGAGTGAATGTAATGTTTCTTGGCAGAAAAACTAAGTCCATTTATAAGTAAAATACGGAAAAAATGGAATTTTTTTTTTACAAAATTTACTTTTGAATATTATCTTATGATCATAAACAAGCTTCTGTCCAAGTTTGGTAGAAATCCAGGATAGTTTAAGAAAGTTATTAAAATTTCAAAAACTTTAACCACAGAGTGAATATTTGTGGACACCGCCGCCGACGACGGAATGTAGGATCGCTATGTCTCGCTTTTTCGACAAAAGTCGAAGGCTCGACAAAAATGCTTATTTTTTGGCCCCTTTTTGGCCCAAAATTCCTAAACATTTACGGCAATTACCCCCAAACTCAAACCCAGCTTTCCCTTTGTGATATGGAACCTTGCAGTACAATTTCATAAAGATCCATACACTTGCACACAAGTTATTGTCCTGAAACTAGAAAATTGCTTGTTTTTTGCCCCTTTATGGCCCCTAAGTCCTCAAATTTCTAGGGATTTAACCCCAAAATCAATCCCAGCCTTTCCTTTGTGGTATGGTACCTTGCAGTACAATTTCAGAGAGATCCATACACTTGAACAAGTTATTGTCTGGAAACTAGAATAAAATGCTTCGCTGGGCGCAGCTTGATACGACCGCAGAGGTCGAACCCTGAACAGTTGGGGCAAGTATGGACACAACATTCAAGCTTGATACAGCTCTGAATTTGGATTGTGATTAAATATTTGACACAGCATAGGTTTCTGACACAGAAAGAATGTGGTCTAAGAACTTGAATTTTTTTAATTTACCTATTATGGTCCAATGTCCAAAATCAAAATACATGGTTAGAATCAGCATATCAAAGAACCCCATACATTCAATTTTTGTTGAAATCAAACAAAGTTTAATTTTGGACCCCAACTTGGACCAACTTGAAAACTGGTCCCATAATCAAAAATCTAAACACATGTTTAGATTCAGCATATCAAAGTACCCGAAGAATTCAATTTTTGTTAAAATCAAACTAAGTTTAATTTTGGACCCTTTGGACCTTAATGTAGACAAATTTAAAAAACGGGACCCTAAATTAAAAATCTAAAAACACAGTTAGATTTGGCATATCAAAGAACCCCAATAATTCAATTTTTGATGAAATCAAACAAAGTTTAATTTTGGACCCTTTTGACCTCAATATGAACCAATTTGATAGCGGGCCCACAAATAAAAAATCTAAATACATGGTAAGATTCAGCATATCAAAGAACCCCATATATTCAATTTTTGTTGAAATCAAACAAAGTTTAATTTTGGACCCCAATTTGGACCATCTTGAAAACTGGGCCAAAAATCTAAAATCTCAATACATGTTTAGATTCAGCATATCAAAGAACCCCATATATTCAATTTTTGTTGAAATCAAACAAAGTTTAATTTTGGACCCCAACTTGGACCAACTTGAAAACTGGTCCCATAATCAAAAATCTAAACACATGTTTAGATTCAGCATATCAAAGAACCCCAAAATTTCTATTTTTGTTAAAATCAAACTAAGTTTAATTTTGGACCCTTTGGACCTTAATGTAGACCAATTTAAAAAACAGGACCCAAAATTAAAAATCTAAATACACGGTTAGATTTGGCATATCAAAGAACCCCAATAATTCAATTTTTGATGAAATCAAACAAAGTTTAATTTTGGACCCTTTTGACCTCAATATGAACCAATTTGATAGCGGGCCCACAAATAAAAAATCTAAATACATGGTAAGATTCAGCATATCAAAGAACCCCATATATTCAATTTTTGTTGAAATCAAACAAAGTTTAATTTTGGACCCCAATTTGGACCAACTTGAAAACTGGGCCAAAAATCTAAAATCTAAATACATGTTTAGATTCAGCATATCAAAGAACCCCATATATTCAATTTTTGTTGAAATCAAACAAAGTTTAATTTTGGACCCCAACTTGGACCAACTTGAAAACTGGGCCCATAATCAAAAATCTAAACACATGTTTAGATTCAGCATATCAAAGAACCCTAAGAATTCAATTTTTGTTAAAATCAAACTAAGTTTAATTTTGGACCCTTTGGACCTTAATGTAGACAAATTTAAAAAAGGGACCCAAAATTAAAAATCTAAATACACGGTTAGATTCGGCATATCAAAGAACCCCAATAATTCAATTTTTGATGAAATCAAACAAAGTTTAATTTTGGACCCTTTGGACCTCAATGTGGACCAATTTAAAAACGGGGCCCAAAATCTAAAAAATTAATACACGGTTAGATTCAGCATATTAAAGAACCCCAAGAATTCAAGAATAAAACCCCATTGAAATTGATCAAGAAATAAGCAATTTATACGAAGTATCTTCTTTTGCACAATACTGTGCAATTGAATATTTCTTGCTATTGCGCAATACTGTACAATTGACAATTTCTTGCTATTGCGCAATATTGTGCTATTGGATATTTCTTGCTATTGCGCAATACTGTTAAATTGAAGATTTCTTGCTATTGCGCAATACTGTGCAATTGAAGATTTCTTGCTATTGTGCAATACTGTGCAATTGAAAATTTCTTGCTATTGCACAATACTTATTATATAATAATTTACACATCCTGTTTGGTGTGTATCTCCTACCATATCATTATTATTTGCTTTTAAATATAAATCAGAAATAACCAACTTAAAATGGAAAATTTTAAAAGAAAAAAAAAAGGAAAAAAAGAAAAAAAAAAAAAAAAAAATCCCCCCCCCCAAATTTTTTGAACCCCCTTATGATTCATCACCCCCAAACTCAATCCCAGCCTTCCCTTTGTGGTATGGTACCTTGCAGTACAATTTCAGAGAGATCCATACACTTGAACACAAGTTATTGTCTGGAAACTAGAAAAATGCTTATTTTTGGCCCCTTTTTGGCCCCCAATTCCTAAACGTTTCGGGGAATTACCCCCAAACTCAATTCCAGCTTTCCCTTTGTGATATGTAACCTTGTAGTACAATTTCAGAAATATCCAAACACTTACACACAAGTTATTGTCATGAAACTAGAAAAATGCTTGTTTTTTGCCCCTTTTTTGGCCCCTAATTCCTAAAATTTTGAGGCAATTACCCCCAAAATCAATTACAGCCTTCCCTTTGTGATATGGAACCTTGTGGTGCAATGTCAGAGAGATCCATACACTTACACACAAGTTATTGTCTGAAAGTTACAAAAATGCTTATTTTTGGCCCCTTTTTGGCCCCTAATTCCTTAACTGTTGGTACCATAACCCCCAAAATCAATCCCAACCTTCCTTTTGTGGTATTGAACCTTATGGTGAAATTTCATGGAGATCCATTCACTTAAACTAAAGTTAGAGTGCGAAAACCAATGTGTCTTCGGACGACGCCGGACGACGACGACGACGACGACAACGACGACGACGACGACGCCAACGTCATACCAATATACGACCAAAAAATTTTTAATTTTTGCGGTCGTATAAAAATGCTTATTGTTGGCCCCTTTTTGGCCCCTTATTCCTGAACGTTGTGGGAAATTACCCCCAAAATCAATTCCAGCTTTCCCTTTGTGATATGGAACCTTGTAGTACAATTTCATAAAGATCCATATACTTACACACAAGTTATTGTCATGAAACTAGAAAAATGCTTGTTTTTTGCCCCTTTTTGGCCCCTAATTCCTAAAATTTGGAGGCAATTACCCCCGAAATCAATCCCAGCATTCCCTTTGTGATATGGAACCTTGTGGAACAATGTCAGAGAGATCCATACACTTACACACAAGTTATTGTCATGAAACTAGAAAAATGCTTGTTTTTTGCCCCTTTTTGGCCCCTAATTCCTAAAATTTGGAGGCAATTACCCCCGAAATCTATCCCAGCATTCCCTTTGTGATATGGAACCTTGTGGTACAATGTCAGAGAGATCCATACACTAACACACAAGTTATGTCTGGAAGTTACAAAAATGCCTTTTTTTGGCCCCTTTTTGGCCCCTAATTCCTTAACTGTTGGTACCATAACCCCCAAAATCAATCCCCACCTTCCTTTTGAGGTATTGAACCTTATGGTAAAATTTCATAGAGATCCATTCACTTAAACTAAAGTTAGAGTGCGAAAACCAATGTGTATTCGGACGACGTCGACGACGCCGACGCCAACGTCATACCAATATACGACCACAAAATTTTTTTGCGGTCGTATAAAAATCGTCAATTAAGGATAAAAAACTCCAATAAGGAGTTATCTGACGATTTGAGCCATGTTGAATTATTTGTAGATCTTGTCTTGCTAATAGTAAAGTAATACCTTTCAGTATTTTGGGTCAAAGGTCCTGGACCTTCCATTGCCTAAAGTAAATTTGAACCCCTGCAGGCAGGGTCATCAGACAAATTTTTAAACTAGATACCCCAATTATGACTGTGGCAAAGTTTGGTAAAATTTGGCCCAGTAGTTTCAGGAGAAGATTTTTGTAAAAGTTTACGGACAAAAACGACAGATGCCAAGTGATGAGAAAGCTCACTTGGCCTTTCAGCCAGGTGAGCTAAAATTGAAGGTCACTTCCATTACATAAAATCATGGACGTCCTTGGAATCTTTTATATTTGTCAAAGCAAGATTCATTTTAGCTTAAATAACTTGAGATGTTTATTAGATATTTGTCTTTTTTTTCAGTTACAACACGGGTGTAAAATATGAATATTATACTATAAACATACTGGGAGGAAGTTTGTCATTGGAATCCACTAGAAGTTTGTCCTTGATATTGTCAATATCACTTTCATTTAATTCTAAGGTAACTCTATCTTTCAGCACTGTACTTGGTGGATGTGGAATCATTGATGAACATCCACTGGTAGACTTAGAGTGATCACTCCTGTCTGATATGTTGTCATCTGAAAACATAGGTTTCTTATATTGTGAATGTTTCTAATTATAATGGTTGCTTGGAATGCCCCCTGAGGGTTCTTGATTAGAATATTTAATAAATATTTCATTTGATTTATATCTAAATAAATGCACTCAATTCTACAAAATACTAGTATGCTCATTGTTGAAGACTGAACAATGACCTATAGTTGTTCACTGCTATGCCATTTGGTCTCTAGTGGACAGTTGTCTCATTGACAATCATACCACATCTTCTTATCTTAATAAAAAAACATTAATGAGTTTTGGAAATAGACATACATTGTTTTTACCAACATGTACAATAAAAAGTAATTTGTGAAAAAAGTATGAGTAAAATTTTTCTTCTAGTTATTTTATTATTTGATCTAATTTTGTCATCGCCACTTAAAGAGTATCTTGATTTTTTTTGTTTATTCGTAATTTTTTTTAAAGATTGTTTAAGTCAGATATTAGATTGAAGAACCCCAAAAGATATTTTGATCTCCTACAACTTACTTATATCAAGTTCGATGAATTATCACTAGTTTTTCAATATCATTAAATCCTTTCAAAAAGAATTAAAACATTGAAAAATTTCACAACCCCAAAAGTATGAACTGCATAAATGTAATAAAAATTCTCTAGTCATACCATTGTCCACATGATGATAATGATGTTCATACATTTTCTCTGGTATCAAAGGAAGTTGTGATGATGTAAATCCTGCCTGCAGAGGAAACTGGTCAGCTTTAAAACTAGGACCAACTTCCCCTGACCTGGTATGTGCTATGACTGTAGATTGCGGAGGAGCCATAAGTTGGCTAGGTGTACCATTTCTTTTATCAAGTGGGACAAAAACTGGAGCAGGCTTTGTATCATTTTGTTGTTTAGTTCTCCCATGTATAGGTGAGGATGCAGGAACCTACAAGAAATACATGTACAACATAGGCATTATAGACATGTAAATTTTTCTGTGTGGAATAAGGGGTAGCTAAATTGTAAACATGAAAAATGCCATGTGTGTTGTAGTCAGCTGGTATTACCCTGCTAGCATGAAAAAGCAATGCCCTAATTGTCTTGGAGAATTAAAAATTGGACACTTATACAAGTTAAAAAGAGTTTCAAGGATATAAATTTTCTATAACTTTAAAAAAAAATTGCAACAGCTTACTCTCCTCAGTGCCTCAACTAATTTCATTACATTACATTCAATTATAGCTTATTTTGCGGTAACATTACAACTAGTGTTACAGGCTAAAATTTCTTAAGGATGTACTTAGGCCATGTTTAGGAATATGTGTCAAATGTTCGGACTCCTTTCCTACAATACAGGGTAAAATATTTTGCCCCATAACACCCATTCTTCTTTTCATATAAGACTTCAATAGCTCATAAAAGGTCATTTACCAAAATTTAAGCAGATTCTAGATTTCTTTTCTTTTGATTTCAGACCCAAATAATACTTATGCAAATATAAGGTAAAAGTCCGCATCACAATATCAATCAACAATAGAATACCTAAATGTTACATGTCTGATTAACTATAGTAGTGTAAAATAAAGTGGATAAATTATAAAATGATAAGACCATACATGATCTCGCTCCGTTGTATGCTCAAATATTTTTTACCTTGGAATTTGTGTCATCCTTCTCAGTTGTTTCATCAGATTTCTTATTGTTGACAAAGCTTGACAACCATGATGGTGTTATCAGGTCTTTCACTTTACCTAATAGAGACTACAATAAAACAAACATTTTTTTGTCATGTTTTAATTGCTTACTACTTGTACTTGTATTTAAAATAAAATAACATAACATAAGATAAAATTTAAAAAATGCATTCCACATTGCAAAATAATGAATATAAGGGCAGTATTGATTGACAAGCCTATATAATCCATTGCTAAACCCTAATAAAGTGACAAAGAACTGTTTTCACTATAGGTGTGAAAGTATTTATACAAGCGAAAGGTGCAAATTACACTGTTAATAGAGCTGTAAAAGGATCATAAATTAGTAAATAAGAGTCCATTGTTCTCTCTATTTTTTATCATCCTTTGATAAGAAATATAAAGTGTGCTCATATCTAACAGATTAAATTGCCAAATCTATGCTTTATACTAATAGCTAAAATATTATGGGTTATGATGGTTTATACAGTCGATTCCACTTAATTGCATACCGCTTAATAGCATAATTCGGTTAATTGCATACTTTTCTCCTGCACAAAACCATTTCCCATTCATCTAATGTTAAATTGTCCGGTTATATGCATAGCCTTACAAGTGGCCTTTCGGTTAATTGCATAGAAAATATTCGCCAGCTAGATATGCTTAGTTAAAACTGACGAGATTTTTGACCGGAAACGGCAATTTGGTAAGTATATTTTTCATGAATGCATCATAATTTTCGTTATTATTTCATATTTACTTTTGTGTTATCTAAATAAAGTTTTAAAACAGTTTCTTTCGTGTTTATATGATTATAAAATAAGCCTCGATGTGTACACAGGTAAAGTTTCCCATGTTCTATTTTAAGCCTCGAGGTCATAAAAATGTCAAACAGGTGATTGTTGTAAAAACACGTCCAATCTATCTCAAAAGGTGTTAATTATTGATTGGATTTCAAACATTGTTCATAGATTACATTTGGGGTGAATTTTAAAAACAATAACCCCTGTTAAATATCGATCATTATCCAATGTGTACTCTCGTAATTGTGGCTTGGGGTGATCTACACTTATGTTAAATATTACAGGGCATTTATATATGGTTGAAGAATTTTATTCATCAATCTTTTATTTTTAATATTTTTTGAAAAGAAAATCAACTTCTAATTATTATATTTTCTCTCTTTCAACACTCGTGTCCTGCAAATAACCCGTACAGGGCCCCATTACCTGTTAACTGCTTTGCATATACGAAACTAACGAGGTTAAAGAAACAGTGTTACATCACTGTGCAAGCGGTAAATACTGCATATCAAAGGCAGTTTAGTACACATTTATTGTTTAAAATGATTATAAACTGTGTAGTATTGTTAAACAGTTAATTTAATCAAAGCGTAACAATGTACATTGTACATCCGGGTCATAGAAACAAATCTATTTTTAGAACAATTAGTTTTATTTTCGTATCTCAGGTAAAGGAAAAGTCGGTACGCAAATAAACTAAAACAAAATGTGTTTATAAACTTTATTGAAAGAATACAAAATAAAATAACATGTACAACACTAGACACATAACTTTTATTAGAATAAATAAGCATTCAATATGTTGTAAGTGGATTATGGACGTTCATCTTTCTTCAGGGATTTCCTTTACTGATCTGTACTATCGATGTTATTTGACTCCGTAATTTGGCATTTCGGATATAAGCATACTCCGCTTAATTGCATAATTTTGTCTGACAAATAGGCTATGCAAATAACCGGAATCGACTGTATTTGTATTTCTATGAAATCAGTGTTTCAGTTACATTTTGTACAAAATCATTGATGCAATTAAAATATGTAAACAGAACCACAATCAAAAACAAATTGCTTTTTTTTAAAGGGCAGTTAACTTTAATACAAATATTTCAGTCATGGTGTCTTTGGGCAAAATTTTCCTTTTACATGAATGTTCGCAACATGACAGCAAATATCCTTAATTCCAAAGTTCATTTTTTTCACTGTAAATTGATACCTATTTAGGGGTATAATACTAATTAATGGGAAACATGTAATACCCATTTTAGCATTTATGAGGATCTTCCTCAAACATCACTGAGATATCATTGCTCTCGTTATTTTGGACTTGCTGGGGCCTTGGATGTCAGAGAGTAGTCCACATCAGAAAACATGGAAATTGTTGTAGCAGACTTTGTTCAACAATTTTTTGTCTCCAAATCTTTAAAGATCCATTTCAAGGCATAAACTAACTCCCAACATTCTATGTGCACAGTATAACAGTCACATGACAACTGCCAAAAAATTTAAGAGTTGAAAGGTAAATGTTTTCATAGTGCTACTCAGGGTTGATTGAATAATAATTACATATTTTTGGAGTAACATGAATAAGGAATCAAATGAATTTACAATCTATCTGCTTGAAAGCTGATATATTTATGATTTTGAGACAATTTCCATGTTTTCTGTATGTTCCATAGCCCCAGCAAGTCCTGAAAAAGGCTGTCAGCTGTCAGGGCATTCTCAGACAACAATTTTTTTAGTGTATCTTTATCTATTTAGAAGATCCACAAACTTTAGATTAAGAGCTCAGTTTAAGGTTTGTTTTAAGTAATATGCCAGATGCCAATCCAGGATTTTGAAAAAGGGTGGTCCCAGGCTAGGCAACATAAGGTGCGGCACATGTCAAAATTTAACGTCTATAAATTAACCATGGATGTAGCTCCATAAGGGTGATGCACTTGGCCTTTCCCTTAATCCACATCTGTATGCACCTTATCACTATTTAGTCCAATCTGTTAAAAACAGACAGACAACTTCCTGTTTGGGTTGTGTTGCAAATACAAAGGGTCTGACAGTAATGAGCTGAGGGAGGAAAATGTTTACACAGTGAACATTTTGAGTTTTTTATCTTATTTTTTGAAACACAAATTTAGTCATATAAATGCTTTGTTTGAAGTTTACGATCATTTAAAAATGTCTGAAAGTTTCAAGAACAATGCATGGTTTCAACAGGGCCCAAGATAGCTTCACCTGGTTTGTGACCTCATGAAACAGTTGTGATAGTTCAGAACTTATCCAGATTAGAATAAATAGCTATAAGGTGTATCTACACGAGTTTGGACCTCTGAGGTAAAAAAAAAATTGAGTTCCCTCCCTTGGAAAATTTATTAATTCCAGGACACCACTGCTTGATCTAAATCAGCTCCAACTGTTCGTGTTGGAAGTGTACAGTATATACAACAAGTCTAGATTATATACGAGTAAACATGAATAGTGAAATGGTTACAAAATGTTGCATTTATTTTACACGGTTACACAATTAACTTTGTGATCAAGTGACAAGATAGGACCGACACGGAATAGACCATTCAAATTTAAAGGTTTTAATATAAAATATTATTAAGTAAGATATTCAAAATCTATCAGACCCTTTCAACCGACATTACCTGCGAAAAATTTGAAAATGAAACTGCGACCAAATTTTTTATTTTCTGCGATATTTAGTACCACTTGTTACTTACTTTTCTACGTTCATACGGTTTGTTAGAACCATGATGGCGTTTACTTTTTATCTTTCCACCAGCTTCCTCAGACATTTTTAGATGTCTTCAGAAGGAAAGTGTATTATTGTAAGTTATGTATAGATTTAATTTGAATGAAACACCATGCCACTTTTCCAGACAGAATAAGATGGCGGCAATTGACATAATCTTCTGATTGGTCAAATATGTCATGTGGTCACAATAGAGTTGAAGGTCAAAATAAGGAACAGTAACTCTATCTGGCGCGAAAGCGATAAGTAAATATGACACAAAATCGGTTTACACACGACGATTTTCAGTCTGAAGTAGAGCATATTTTGCAAATAACAATAAGCAATATTTTCTTTTCGATCTTTGTGGTTCTTCAATAATCATTTAACGTATGAACGATCGATATTTATTGTTCTTCCAATCCAATGTGGCTCCCGTTCTGATATATGTGACCATATGTCGCGTACCAAGGTGATGCGCAACATATCAGAACGGGAGCAATTAAAGGATTTGATTCTAACAAGATTTGCTATAACCTGAAAATAGTATAATAACAATATAGGCTATGTCCCAGCTATAATTGAGTCGGTGTGGATGGGGTTTACAGAATGTAGAATAATGATAAAAAAATTTATATAAAAAAGAGGAAAAATAGGTAAAAAAATAAAAATAATATTGCGGGTGCAGAAATGAATAAGGGTAAAAAAAAGTAATGCATAGAGAAATATGATCTAAAACGTTTAAGAATAAAGAAATGAAGGACCCCCAAATTAGACCCTCATTATTAAACTGTGTCATAGAAGTCTCAACAATAATAAATAAAATAAGAAAGAAAGCTTTATTTAGAGTCGGTTTAGTTTACCAAACAAAGCAGAACATAAGCCCTGTTAAGCTTTTGACCGACATATGCTATGTCCCAGCGAGAAAGCACTACGATAAGTGAAAGTAGACCACAAATGAAATACTATAAATTAGCAAGGTAACAGTAAGCAGAATTTATAAGCATGCAAGCTATATGTATAAAAACAAAAAAGCAAATAAAAAAGTAAAGTAAGCATGACTATAATGTACTAACAAAGCTTTATTTAGAGTTAGCATGGTTTTTAAAACAAAGCTTTATAGAACTTTTAACCGACCGTGACAAGAAATGGTTAGAAATCTGGTAACACGCATAGAATAAAAGATTAAAGAATGGATATATGATCTATGTTGGTAAAAAAAAATATTGAAATATCTAGCCCGACGATGTTGATGACTGGTTCCGATTGGAACGACTAAAGTCTCAGGATCTGGTTAGATATATACATATGTAAAAGTCTTAAGATTTGCGCAACGATTCTAATTTAAGATGGTAATATACGAAGAGGATGGACAAATATTTCAGCTGAAAAATAGCCTTCTTCTAGGTGTCAATATCCGTCTGTCAAATATAAATACAATACTATTAATCAACGAATCAGTCTTGGAAAATAAGAATGATAAAGGAGAGCATATATAAACCACTGTTATTGTAATATCGTATGAATGAAAGCAAAAACACATTCAATAAGTTAAAAAAAAAAGAATATTTACAAAAAATAAAACCCTAAAACCTAAAAAAAAAATGAAAAGAAAATAGGTATACATGCCCCCAAGCGCCTGCAGGACTGCATGGTTACTATTATCATCCAATACGGTAGACAAACAACATATAATGTGCAAGGTATTCCATCTACCATCTACATGCCACCATCGCCATAGACTGTATTACAACCCAATATGAAGCCGACGAGGATAAAGGCATTTCTCGACTGGCGAAAGCTACATGCGAGGTTGTGGGAAGGGTCTTCATTTCTGTAATGTTTTAGGCCATTTATCTATTCTTTATATTTTACACATCCTTATTATCTATTATTTATATTTTGGACCATTTTCTTTATTCTGTAAACACATGCAGATCCTCTTATATTTTATAGCCTAGTTGTCCGAGTGGTTAAAGGCGCCGGACAGTGACAGCACAGGGGGGGGGGGGAGGGGGTGGTTACCATAACATCACAGAAGCATGGGTTCAAATACTGCTGAGGGGAGAATAAAAAAAATACTATTGCAAATTTGCAGATCTAACAGTTTTGGTCTAATTTTCAAACGAACTCATGTCATGGAATTTGTGCCACTTTTTTAGCCCTGTCTATAACCCTAGGTTATAAGATGGACACAGTTTTGTAATATACTGAGTTGTCACATATTACAAGATGTATGATATAAAAAAAATATTGATGAAACTGCATTGTTCATAAAAAACACATAGCTGAGCTAGGGTGATAGAGCAGATTGTTACCGAGGGGTTTTAATGTATTCTGAAATCTCTGATTTCGCTATCCTCACATGAAAATTCGAGCACGCAAGCTTTGATCGGTTGTGATAGATCTGAATTTATTTTAATCAGATTGCTGCTCTTTCATTCTCTCAGCTATATGTTATTTAATTCACCATACTAAAAGTTCAGTTTTTATTGTCTTTTAAACCACTAGCCATATTGACGCTAAATCTTAATTGGACCTTTCTTACCCAAACGGTATTTTTATATGTACTTTATACGGTGTTTTCCTTACCTTTTCTAATGGCTGCAACTCCGAAAGTATATCAAGTACCCAATGTTTTTTTTTGTTATTATATTTTCTAAATTTCAAACCATATACAATTTCTTTTTATAAAAAGGTGAACTAGCCATGTAGAAGTACTTGACCGTGCTGCTACCTCAGTCAATTATCGTCTCAGTTTATTTTATCCTATACGAAATAAAAAAGAAAAGAAAAGGCTGATCTGCACTTATTCCATCTACATACCACCATTCATCTTTACTGTGTTTACAATCCTATAGATGAGGATAAAGACATTACTTGACTAACGAAAGATATACGAGTGTCTGTAACAGTATCTTCATATCTGTTTCTTTAATTTTTACAATTTTTCTCTTTTCTTAGCCCATTTTATCTATTCTACCAATCCATTTTATATCCTCCTTTAATACATATATGGCCGAGTGGTTCTAGAGCGCAGGACACAGAGCAGGCGGAATTGCCACGATGTCACGCCGAGTGGTTCTAGAGCGCAGGACACAGAGCAGGCAGAATTGCCACGATGTCACAGAAGCATGGGTTCAACTCCCATTGAAGAAAGAATAAAATTATACTTAATAGACTAGTACTGAAAATTTGTAGACCTAACATTGCTTGGTCAAATTTCCGTCGAAGTATATTTACATCATGTGTGATTAGCCATGTATAATCCTAGGTTATACGATGGAGAATGTCTGTCGTAGAGTTGTCTCATATTTATACATAACAAAATAAAAACATATTGAAGCTACTGTATGTAAGTATATATATTATCAACCTTTACGACAGAAAAAAAAATATCTGGTCTGCAAAGTATCCCATCTATATGCCACTATTCATCATGTACTGTGTTACATCCTAGATGAAGCCAACCTTGAAATACATCACTCGACTAACGAAAGCTATTATGGTGTAGCCTAGCTGGTAGAGTTTTATCTCTGGACATATTGTAGGTTGTTGTGTTTCGATGCCAAAGCCTGCCTAGGGAAGAATAAATATTAGTTATTACAAATTTGCTGATCAAACATTGTAGGCTTATTTTCAGACCAAATACATATACATATAATATATGTCATATATATAATATTGAAAATGAAAACAACACTTAATAAATTTTGTCCGTCCGAAACGCTTTTCTGTATTTACCTTTATCAGTTTAACCCAAAATTGAAAACCCAAAATTTTGAAAGCAAGGATCTACAATAATTGAATACGTGAGTTTAATGATAGTTTTATTTAAAATCTTCTCATGAATAATATAACATTAAATTGAGCCTGCACATACAAAACTAATAAATCCTAACATGAATATATTTAAAGTAATATAGAAATAAGAAAATGTGATATGATAAGCATGGAGACAACTCTCCACTAGAGACCAAATGACGTAGAAGTAAGTAACTAGAGGTCACCGCACGGTCAACAACGATCAGTAAAAAACCGCATAAAAGGCCCCGACATAACAAATGTAACAATTCAAACGAGAAAAATAACGGCTTGATTTACGTCAATATAATACTTCCATGATTTTTAAAATGTAAAAAAAAACAACAACAAATAAACGAAAAACAAATATGATGTACAGAATTAAACGACAACTACTGAATTACAGGCTCTGGATAAACTATTATAATAGCTGCAGTTATTGGTTTTGGAAAGTAAAATAGGTAAAAAGTGAAAAGTGAAACTATGGAGGTTGGATGTCTGCCAGACTAAAGCCAACCCCTACTATCCACTTGCATACAAACGCAAATGGATGGTGGTGGATGGCTTTAGTCAGACTAGTTGGATGCAGGAAGTATTCAGTATTTGGTGAACGGAGTTATGAAATAAGAAATCGCTTAAACATTTTTATAGATCTAAAACTAGTATAAAAAATGAGAATTTTTTTACATGACCCGAGCGATCACACCTTCACACCGGGTATCCCGAGGAACAATTTCATTAATTGGTCCTCGTTAATCAGATCCCTCCACCGGGATTTCGGATCGGGATAACCGGTGTGATCCTGAGGTATAACTTATATATGCAAGGAACTATATGACCAAAAGGGATACAAACAGAAACCTATATTCAGTTTGCAAAGAATTCCGCTAAACCGGTGCTAGGAGCGTCTTAAACTTGCAGTGAGAGGAGAGGTATTACTCCGTATTGAAGGCCTCACTGTGACTTTGCGATAAAGAACAACAAAAAAACATTTTCCTTTGCTTTTTGTGTTTTTTGCTGTGCATGTACTGATTTTGTGTCATGGAAATTTACCCCATATCCTTTCTTTTCTACTATATATGTATACATTTAACCAGATAGTTTGTAGATGTTCCTTCTGAAGATCATGCAGATTTATTTATAATACTTTCAATGACAAATGCTTTGCTACGGAAGTCGATAAGGGTCATTCAAAAAAATTAATTTATGTCGTAATTACGACATAGTATGTCGTAATAACGACATGGCTATGTCGTAATAACGACATATTATGTGGAAATAACGACATCGCTATGTCGTAATTACGACATATAATGTGATAATAACGACATCGCTATGTCGTTATAACGACATATTATGTGGA